TCAGAAATCGTCCGGATAGCGAGGCATCCTGTTAACTGGATCAAACAACCAAAACATATAGATGATGCATATTGAAAATGTATTCACGTATGTACATGTATATCAAAAAATCAAGGGAGGAAGGAAGTGTACAGTGATGTTGGGACAGTCAAACGTTTGGGTGCAGTCACACAACGTTTGCGTTTAGCAGGCTGACTTGCCATTATGCCCAATACCTGTCTACAGAAATGTGACGAGACGTTATATACAGTACAATTACAATGTAGTTAATCCTAATCCTAATTAACATGTGTTTTCATTACTGATGAGATATTTTCACGCGTCCCTAGTGTTTTGATGGGTAATTAATCAATTCACATCAAACGCCTGTCGAAAGATTAACTATGAATACACTTTGTGGTGTGGTAATCATACACATGTGCACAGAACTTTCCGTCCAGTTAACAGGATCATTTTTCAATGGAAATCTATGGGAATGGTTTGAAAATTCTCCCCGGAAGTGCGGGGTCCAGCTAAGCGAGTACAATTACTGAAGGTAAGTTTCATTTCACCTAAAACCGTCCAGAATGCGGGCTTTCCGGATATACAGGGTCCGAGTAAGGCCAAATAATAAAAATGTTGTGGTTCTGATTACCTCTCTTAAAATTCAGGGTAGGTAGGCAGGAAGGAATTTTTTTTACATTTATTTTTAGAAGTAAAGTACGAACTAATAACACATTTATCAATGTGTAATTGTTTATTCAATCAAGCTTGCGGCCATCATGTCGACTTTTTATCAGAATTACAAATGTCCGTTGCTGCCGGGAGAAAACAATGGTATCTGAAAGCTTATGTTATTCATACCTTGTAAAAAAACTAGGGTCGGCACCAGAATTCAAGGGTTGGTCGGGTAATCGGAACCACAACAAATTTGTTTAGGCCTAAACGTGGTTCGACTGTAGTCCTGTATTAGGATACAAATTCCCCTGCACACACATTATCCGAATACACACATCTATAAACAGTTATGCAAAATAAAAGAAATAACTTCTGACAAGTTCTGGGGGTTACAATAAACACTAGTGTTGGGAATTGGTTAATATCTCATAATTGATGAGTCCAAATAAAAGCACAGGAACAAACTAAAGCTAAATTCTTCAAAGGCATTTAGAAGTTGGGTAGAGACATAAGACAAATCTTATGGATAACATAAATCAAGAAGTTGTTATCCACAAGATTTGTCTTGTGTTAAACTGAAGCTATATTATTTATTTTGAAAGATGGACCTAAAGACAGTAATTTGAATTTTATTGCTGCAATATGAAAACAGTTTTCACAAACATTTCGGTTTAACCTTCTAGTCTAACGGAGTCGGCATCATTATATTGAAAACATTAGCTTAGCTATTAGAAATTGCGACACTGATGTATCATATAAATCAAATAAAGTAAATGTGAACCTAAATATTATTCATATGGAATAAAGAAGTTATATGTTTTGCACACAGTATTAAGATCTATGACGAGTGAACTTAATTACGATTTATTTAGAATAAATATTTAAAATATGACGATCATGTCAATGTGGCCATGGATGTGAGAATGTTTATCATTACGCCCTTTGAATGGCCATCGATACTACTCAAAGACATAAACTGTACAATCTTTAGAAAGTGTTGTTAAAATTAGAACACTGATTTGTATTAATCGACCCGTATCTACATGGCAATGCAGGTGTCTCATTTACTGCAAATCAGAATGTTTATAAATATGTACATATCTATATATCTCTCAACAAAACGTTTTTCTCAGTTAACTTCTGTTGTACATATGCTATTATTGGGAGGGGGCTTTTCTATCAATAAACACAATCAAACCTCTCAGTGACAAACCTGTTTTATATTCGATAGTAATTGATAGTAAAAACAATTTTGAGAGGAGAAATCATTTATCATTTAAACACAACAAAGTTCTATGTACCTACAATCAAACTTCTCAGTAACTTAACCTGTTTCAGGCTCACCCTGCTCTACTCACTAAACAGTGGACTGTTCCATTATATTCGTGAGGTGTTACCCTAATTAACCTTCTAGTTCAGTGTCTGTCAATTGGCTTCATTACAACCGATCAATCATCGAAAATAATTGGTTAGCGTCATTTATGAAATTTGTTAATGCACAAACAAATAAGGAAAAAACATGTAGTTCTTTGGGGGTTTTTTGGGCAAAACTTCACATCTTTAAAGGATGACTAGTATGTTAGAAACATAAATGTCTTGGTGTCTTTAAGATAAATTCAATCTTGACTTGGAATGAGCTTGTAGTGCTTATGAAATGTAACAGACAAAACCAACCTTGTGAAAAATACTGTTAATGAAAACAAGTATTCCAGAATTGTTTGTGTTCGATCATGAGAAAACATGATCGATTGCTTGGTCGTTTAGTCACTGCAACCAATCTTCGATTATTTCAATTAGTCGGACAACCACTAATAAACATGCTAGTTTGAATCATTAAGGTTTACCTAAATTACTGCTATCAACAACTGGCTTTCTGTTCTGTTGAGGAATGAACTGAAAGTTTATTGTGCCATAGGTTAAAAGGATACTTTAATACTTTCCGCATTTACTGTGATATTAATTTCAAAATGAGCATGCACACAAGGGCTGCAGCAAATACTCTTTGAGGCAAAGATGATACATATTACAAATACTGGGTAAAAATTACAAGCACTTATTCACACACACAATCATGGACAGAGTCAAGCAATGGATCTGTTACTTATAGTGAGTGAGTTTAGTTTTACACTGCTTTCAGCAATATTCAGCAATATCATGTCAGGGGATGCCAGAATTAGGCTTCACACATTGTACCCATGTGAGGAATCAAACCTGGGTCTTCGGCGGGACGAAGCGAACGCTTTAACCACTAGGTTACCCCACCTAGTGTTACTGACACTATTCAGTAACAACAAATATATGCAACGAGATGCGTTACTTGTAGCCTAATATTTGGGTTGACAGTTCTGTAAGCTCATTACTGAATCGTTTGCATTAAGTCCATTATGTCTTGATATTTTACAGTCAAGTGCAAGTACAAAACATGTTTAAAACAATTATAAGTAAACATTTCATTCTTAAAAATGAATGGAATTTATTAAGTAAAACACTTTGATATACCAAAGAAAATTGAAACAGCCCAAGTGCATACTGTAAATAAGTGTAAGCTTCATTATAATCGCATAGAGTAAAACATGCCATGATTCAGCGCTTGATTAAAAAAGGCAAAGATAAAGACATTCAAATATCACTAACATCAACTACAGACTGACGTGACAAAGTGTATCTCATAACAAAGTACACATGTTCATACCTTTCCACAGAACTGACAAGTATATTTGGAGTGCTGTGAGATTTCCATTCTCTTGACAGTCTTACGAAGAGAGGCACCATATCTGGTACCATACTTTCCAACGATGCCAACCTTCTTTGTACGCTTGGCCTTAAAAAAGGAAAGAAGAAAAAACAATCAAATATGACTGACTGACTGAGTTTGGTTTTACGCTTTTAGCAATATTCGGCAATATTCCGCCAACATCTTCTGGGGACACCAGAAATGGGCTTCACATTATTGCCTTATGGGGATTGAACCGGGTCTTGAAGACGAGCCAACACTTTAAACTATGCTACCCAACCCCCATTCAAATATGAAACACTCAGAGCTACAGTTAACTTTTTGGGTCATTGGGTTATGTACTCGCTTGTGTTCATCTCAATTGGATATCCTAATTCTCCTTTAATTGTAAAAATATAAAAAAGTTTAAATGTTGGTTTAATTTACAATTGATATGTAACATGAGAAACGATAAGAAAGACTGCAAGTTGCAATGTTCATGTGTTGAAATAGAACCTCTCAATATACCTCAGTTATTTTATCTGTCAACCGGTACGCAAGCTAAGATTTGACATTTGTGTGGCACATGTAAGATCAAATTTATTGAGTATTTACAAAAAAATCAAGCGTGCTTGTACGGAATAAACTTAATAGGAATTGAGTTTCACAAATATTTGTGTAATTTACGCAGATATGCAGCTTATCTGTACCTGTTTACTGCTGGGCTAGATGAAGTTTTCCTTCACCTGTTCAACTGTCTGGCAGATGATTATAAAACTGCTTATTTAGTCTGTTTAATAGAATGAATTGTTACGTTCGAAAAAACTCACAGAAATTTAATGGTAGGTCCCACTATTCACATAAACCAAATGTTTCAGTCTGAAAGAGTGTACAGTCGATTAGGCAGTCACATCTTTCTGCAGCGCAACAAATCACGATCACTTTTGTTTGCGAAAACTGGGTACTCGACTCCACATCGAAGTGAATTGACATGCAAATGGTAGCAAGGTGTTTGTTGAATTATTACTTTAGTTCAGAAACAACACTACAAACAATTACTATATATATATTACGAGATATATATGTAGTTAAAACACGAAAAACTACTTGATCATAGATGCAGACTTTGTGATTTCTACGATCGGTATACCATGTCTTGTTTATGTACGAAGAGCTGTGGGTTCAAAGAAAATGTGTGTCATACGATAAATCTTTATTGTGGTACACAAATATTCAGCACAGTGAGTAGTGGGATGCATTAATTCAACTTTCCAAAATGTATTTAACAAAGTAGCCACTTGGTGAAGTCGGATTAGATGGATATATTCACTATAGCAATTAGCCCCATACCATCTTTTCGAGTCTGCAGCGGAAGAGGAAAAGAGTTTGCTAAAGACGGCGCATGTCTAAAATGAAAGTGTATTTCCTAGCAACTAATACACTTTCGTAAAATAGAATATAACAAAGAACTCAAAATATATCACAACAACATATTCAAATTTACAAACTTGTGTATAAATTACGAAAAGTAATATTTTAAAGGTATTTGTTGAACTGTAATTAATATTTTATTACATGAATCTTTACTATATTAATAAATGCAATTAGTTGTAGTCATAATAGTTTTGAAATTGACAAGTTCATTGCACAAGATTTTGCCACACGTGTGTATGTTTTTATGTTGTATGTAGGCTATTGCTAATATAAAAACTAACATTCGACAGTGACATTTCATAATAACAGTTCTTTCCCGACACACTGCTTGTGCGAGGTATGTATATATTTGCTGTTTTAAATTGTACAGCATATTTGCCATTTTATTTGTTACCTGAAATCCTGCCTTTCTATGTGTCTATTTGATATGCGATTGATAACTGTATGTTACACCAAATCAGAGCGTATCACAGGGTTTAGCTTATTATCATATGGCGACTTACTGTCTGTGGTTGGTCGTGGGTCAAGGCCAAATTGAATTGAAATAAAAACAACCCCTTATTTATTTGTAGATCTCATGACACGTATGTTACACCAAATCAGAGCGTATCACAGGGTTTAGCTTATTATCATATGGCGACTTACTGTCTGTGGTTGGTCGTGGGTCAAGGCCAAATTGAATTGAAATAAAAACAACCCCTTATTTATTTGTAGGGGAGTACTGCACTTTACCGGGCGCACTTTTTCAGACTAATTAGCGCTGCTGGGGTTCCCTAACCCTAACCCCTACCCCTAACCCTAAGGATCGTAAAGGGTGCCTAACCCTAAGGATCGTAAAGGGTGCCTAACCCCAAGGATAGTAAAGGGTGCCTAACCCTAAACCCTAAGGATCGTAAAGGGTGCCTAACCCTAACCCTAAGGATCGTAAAGGGAGCAGCGAGGGCTGCGCCCGGTAAAGTGCATTCTAGCCATTTGTAGATCTCATGACACACACCCAACCTTCATGCGTATCTAAACTATGCATAGGCGCCCGACTCTGATATATTAATAAGCATGACCTATCTATATGTAAGATATAAGACTTATATATACAGGTCATGCTTATAAATATATCAGAGTCTGGCGCCTATAGTATGAAACTATGTTACAATTCAGAAGATAATAATAATAATAATAATGGCACTTATATTGCGCTATATCCACGCCATGAAGGTATGCTCAAAGCGCATTGCCTCAAACGATGGAAACAGAGGCAGTTGAGTTCTCCACAGTGGTATGAGTTGTGTATCTTTTAGGTATAGTGCTTGAAAAGGTAGGATTTAAGACTGGATTTAAAAGTTTCAAGAGATGGAATCAACTTCAGTGATTCGGGTAGAGAGTTCCACAGAGTAGTGGCTGAGACAGAAAAGGATCTGGAAGCTTCCAAAGTTTTAAGTTTGGTGACAGGCACCCGAAGGAGCTGTTGTTGACTAGAGCCGTAGAGTTCTTGAAGGGAGGTATGAGACAGTCAGATCACTCAGATAGGCAGGTCCAGTACCATGGACAGCTTGGTAAGTGATTGAGAGTATTTTGAAAATGATTCGCTTCAGGAATCGCGAAGCCAGTGAAGCGAGTTTAGCACTGGTGTGATGTGTGCTTTTATGTTCGTCCTAGTGACCAATCTGGCAGCATAGTTTTGGATGTGCTGCAGACGCCTGATTTGTTGTTTGGTGATTCCATAGAGCAAACTGTTGCAATAGTCTAATCGAGAGAATATCAGAGATCTCACGAGAGGGAGGCAGCTGCGTCTCTCGTCAGCAAATGTCTGATGGCACTGATGTTCCTCAGGTGGTAATGACTGACTTTGCAGCAGTGGCTCACGGATCTTCCATGGATAGCGAGGAATCAAGGTACACACCGAGGTTCTTTGACAGATGACTTGAAGGTGATGTCAGCTGACCCGATAGACAGATGATCCAAAGTACATTTCCATAACCTGGATGGAGGTCCAAACAAAATCACCTCCGCTTTTTTGTCTGAATTGAGTTTCAGCTTGTTCTTTTCCATCCATGTACTGACATCAGCAGTGCACTGTTGCATTGCATGTTTTGTTTCAGATTGACTGATGGGTGTTGGCTTAAAGCAGTTCTGTACTTTGCGAAGTCATCTGCATAGAAGTGATGAGGTATATGATGTTCTTCAATACACTGACCTAGAGGTGTTGTATGTAAAGGGTAAAAGTATTGGCCCCAACACTGATCCTTGTGGTACTCCACAGAATAATCTGGCTGGAGTGGACATCTCATCACCAATTAGGACTGTCTGTGACCTGTTTGTGAGGTACGAGACCAACCACTGAGCGGTATCCCTGTGATGCCGAAGGTATTTTCGAGACGATGCAATATTATGCTATGATCTATGGTATCAAAGGCGGATGACAAGTCTAGCAATACCAGCATAGCAATATCCCCTCTGTCAACAGACATGTGCACACTATTCATCACACAGTTTAATGCTGTTTCCGTACTGTTGGCCTGTCTATAAGCTGACTGATACTTGTGAAGTAGATCATTTGAGGTCAGGTGGTACAGCAACTGTCTTTTAACTATTTTCTCTAGGATTTTGGATATGAACGATAGGTTGGAGACTGGCCTATAGTTCTTGAGTAGCTGCGGATCTAAATTTGGCTTCTTCAGAAGGGGTTTGACAATGGCTTTTTTAAAATAATCCGGCACAACACCCGTGGATATACTGACATTGATTATATCTGTGATGGTGGGTAGGAGAACGTCCAGGATCTTCAACATGAACTTGGTGGGTAGTGGATCTAGGCTGCACGATGTTGGTTTGGCCTCGAGGATGGTTTTACGGACTTAATTTTCTGTTACAACCCGGAATGAACTAAACTTGGTGCCCATGTATTGAGGAGATGGTTCGTTGTCCATATCAGAATCAAAATGTTGGCGGATGTTGCTGATCTTGTCCAGAAAGTAGCTGTTAAATTCTGATGCTAGGTGAGCATCTCCACCATGAGGAAGTGCTGCAATTGACTGTTTTCCGAGTAAACCGTGTAGGATAGAAAACATCTTCTGTGGATTATTAGAACTGCCTGTGAGTTCAGCATTGATATATTCAGCTTTGGCTCTATGCATGAGATTGTTCACAGAGTGCCTGCAAGCATTGAAGATCTGTCTGTGAATCTCCAGCTGCGACTTCCTCCACTGCCGTTCTGCAGCTCTCCGAGTGCTTTTGGCTTCTCTGATCTCTGCCGTGTGCCATGGAGATGTTGTTCTTGGTCTACGAACTCTGGTCCTGACAGGAGCATGTTTATCAACTATAGCCGCCAGTTTTGTGTTGAACTCGCTGACAAGGTTGTTTACATCATCCGGGGAGGAACGTGTCTTCAGCACTCTCAAGAAAATCATTTGAAAAAGAGTTAATGTCTACAGGTTTAAAGTTTCGGGATGTTCATGGTTCTGGCTGCTGCTCTGGGCTTACTGAATTGAAGGGTAAATTTCACAAGAAAATGATCTGACATTTGGTGATCAGTCACCTTTACATCTTGAACAGTATTGTTCACAGACAGAACCCAGTCTATCACATGACCCGGATCTCAATGCGTGGCTGATGTGACATGCTGATCGTATCAATGTACGCAAAGGAGTTCTAATACCTTCTTGGTTAAGGAGTTTTTCGGCATTGTCATAGTGAATATTAAAATCACCTAATATGACTGTATGATCTCGGTGTCCTGTCGAGGGTGATGAGCAGATCAGCAAATTCCTTGTGGAAATCAGAGTCAGATAGTTTATTACCACGCATTGATGGAGGCGGTCTGTAAATGTATACCACTTTAAGTGATTTCTGGTCTGAGGTGAAAATGCATGTCATTTGTTCAAATGATGAAAAAGATTGTTGATGAACTAGATTAACTTGGAAGCCGTCTTTAAACAAAATGGCTAAGCCACCACCTCGCTTTATTAGGCGCGGGAATGTGTTTGATATTGTATCCTTCTGGTGTAATTTCTTTTATTTTGGCCTCATCTCCGGAATGGCATAACCAGGTCTCGGTGATCATGAAGACATCAAAATTAAAATCAGATATAAAATCTCTGACTTCCAGAGTTTTGTTTCTGATAGACTGCGCGTTCCATAATTCACAGTTGATAACCTGAGAGTCAGACACAATGGGTTTGGTCACAGAATGGTCACATGGGCCCTGCATTTGAGTGGATGTCATTGTATTCCTCCACTTGCGTCGTCCACTCCGCTTACCTCTGGTAGTGGGTTTTGATGTGCTTATTCCAAGCCTTCTTATGTGATGTAATTGATCAATGTCAAGCTTTAGAGTATGGCTGGAGTATTCAATCAGCTGTCCTTTGTTGTAGGAAAGTGGTGACATAGTCAGTGTAGGTCTATCACCATCCAGGCTTGGGGTCTTGATTGACTGTGAATAGCTCTCTGTGTTGAAATCAGCAAAGTGTGCACATATCACAATTGCAAAAATACCACAAAGTCCACATTCTGAATAAAATTTCACAATTTTCATCATAACATCTGGTTAAAGGAATCACAATGCACTTGTGTATCCAAAATTCAGTTTGGAAATTGTTGAGTAAACGAGTGAAAACTCAAAATTTTGTGAGAGCTCAACAAGTCTGCTGCCTGCTAGGCGCATGACCAGAACACACCAAGATGACTTGGTCGGATTAGATTAACTGCCCTCCAGGTTTAGCAGAAGTGATTCCTGTCAAGCAAGACAGCAGTATAAGAATCCATACCCAAACGTCGCATCATATATAATAAAAGAAGTTGTTATCCATAAACAATCTTACTTTCTTTATCACTATTCTAGTAGTAAAAAAATGTTTATGTCAAACCCCGGATTGTCTATCGACATTAGTCCAGATTGAAAAAACACAACAGAATGATCAGTCTGTACACTCTTACTAAAGTTGTAATTAATGACTGTTTGTTTTCAGTGAACTGACGATGTCGGTTTATACCTGTATCACCTGCCGAGTGGCGTTTGCCGATGCCGAGCTGCAGCGAGCACACTACAAGACTGACTGGCATCGCTACAACCTGAAGCGTAAAGTAGCAGAGATGCCGCCAGTGACTGCGGAGAATTTCCAGCAGCGTGTTCTCGTACAAAGAGCTCAGGTATCTGTAACTAAAGTATGTTTCTTTGCATGTTTTGAGTACTAACTCACTGAGTTTGGTTTTACGACTCTTTTAGCAATATTCCAGCAACATCACAGCAGGGGACACCAGAAATGGGCTTCACACATTGTACCCATGTGGGATTGAATGTTGACGAGCCAACGCTTTTAACCATTAGGCTACCCCAATCGCCCCTTTTGAGTCCTGACAATGAATATGCATGTCACTATGATAGGCAATATATATGTATTAGTCATTAAGATAGGAAGATAAAGCTATTCTGTTTTCCTTCTTGCATTCCTTTATCTTGTGATATAAGGTTGGTAAATGTCCAGTCTTAAATCACAAGAGTAAGGACCACAAAATTGTAAAGAGATTTGCTTTATCTCCATTCTAGCAGGGGGGTTGGGGTAGCCTAGTGGTTAAAGCGTTGGCTCGTCACGCCAAAGACCCGGGTTCGAATCCCCACATGGGTACAATGTGTGAAGCCCATTTCTGGTGTCCCCCACCGTTATTTGCTGGAATATTGCTAAAAGCGGCGTAAAACCAAACTCAGTCAGTCAGTCCATTCTAGCATGACTGACACACATTTGAAATTTAGACACTTCTGCACACAAGAGCATTGATGCTTGATAGGGCATTTTGAATTGCTGTAGAATCATCCAACATAAGATAAGGTCTTGCAATGAAAGTATGCAGTATTTTTTTAACTTTGTTTTTGATACTGAAACAACTTTTGCTGTTTCTACAAAATGTAAACAATGGTGTTAGTTACATAGTTACAACACCTCAACCATTTCTGCAATCAACAAAACCACCTCACCTCCACAGCATATTACTGATTGACTCGCCCATGCGTTAAGACACGAGTTGACTGACAAATCGCTGAACTCCCATCACTTCAACTCTCGGAAGTAATTATTGATCACTAAAAAACACTTACTATTGAAAGAATTCATAACTGAAACGAAAATACCTTCACATCATCATGATGACAACAAACTATGGAAATCTCTATTTTGCCGTCGCCATATTGTCGATTAGTAACTCACTGGGCCAATGAAATTGAAGAATGTCATTGACCTAAATAAAACGACCAATCAGTGGTAATCAAAACATAATCAGCCAATAAGCGCATGGTACATTGCTTTTTCCAGTTGCAAACAATCATGAAACTTGCGAAATTCAAAGCGGTTCGCAATTAAAAACTGTTCATTGTACATATTATATGGAGTTTCAAGTCATTATGGGTTTTCAGGTGCTTAAAAAGATTTGGGGGTTTCTTGAATAATTACATGAACAGCAGACCCCAAGACCCATGTTATTGACTCACTGAAGTCATATTTGACAATTTATTGCCAACATTTTTTTCTGCAAGTGCAATCAAAGTGACATGTACTGCGTGACGTCAAATGTGACTTGTCAAACTGTTCCACACGTAAAATGTATCAAGCCACGTACTCAAAGTGCTGAGCCTATGTCAAGTATTATGTTAAATATATACGTAGAATAAAGCTTTATACTAATGTGATAGCAATTTATATTATCCTTGTACAAATGAATGCTTAAGATATAAATTCCTCTAATGGTGGAACAGAAATTCTCGGATCGTTTTTAACTGAATCTCCAGTAGATTAGAGTGAAATGTGTACACAGGCAATTGCTATTTCTGGCTTAGTTGAACAACAGCTGGGTAGCATAACAGGAACGACAATTGAATTATCATGTCTGGTGCTGTTTGATTGCAAGTTTCCAGCACATATATTTATTTTCATTTTCAAAGTTTTTGGTTTTTTTACATCCGACAATATGACATCGCTTATTTTGTCACAATACACGAAATAGCAGTTATGCTTTGCACAAGCAATCATTTGACGGCCCTTGACAACGATATCAACATTAATTATTGTATTTGTGATTAATTATCTATATTTGTTGCCCAAATTTTCTGATGCATATCGTTTTCACCACATACTGTATTCGCTATACAACTTAAATAAACCTCAAAAAGGAGAGTGCTAACAAAGTATATTTTTTGTGTAGCTGAAAATGTGGTCGGGTTGCGCTTATGAGGACAGGGTGCTAAATACGTCGAATACGGTATATGCAGCTTACAGGATGAGGTAGTCAGGCTCACGGACTTGGTTGACCCATGTCATTATGTCCCAGTTGCATAGATCGATGCTCATGCTGTTGAACAGAACATCATTCTTGATTGTCTGGTCCAGACTCAATTATTTACAGACCGCCGCCATATAGCTGGAATATTGCTGAGTGCAGCGTTAAACAACAACCAACCAACCAAACCCAGACAGCAGAGAACAGAAGTTTATACATATATATTCTAAGTTAATACAGTTGATACATATGTATTCTAAGATATTTCTGAAAATGATGTTTTCTTCCCAGCTTGCTGATGAAGGAAAAGACACAGGTCGCAGCTGTCAGATCTGTGGGAAGCACTTCAACACCCAAAATGCGTTTGACAATCACATCCAGTCAAAGAAACACAAGGAGATGGAGGCGAAACAGGAAAAGAAACTGGCACAACGGGTTAAACAGCTGAATGCTAAAAATGCTGAGAAGGGGCTGGACGAGTCTGACGTTCGAAGCAAAGATACAGTAAATATGGCATTGAAAGAGAGGCTGCAAGGTCAGAGGTCAGGAGATGGTGATGATATTGATATGGACTCGGAGGATGGTTAGTAAGATTTTGATTATGTTTATTATTATTGATTTATATTATTATTATTAATTTTGTTTTTATTTGCTTTTTAACAACAAGGTTTGAAATGTTATTGAAAAAACAGTTTTAATGGTTTGATGTCAACATGTTCAAAACAGGTGAAATATCTGATTGTGTTATTGTTCCTCTCTGAACATCTGGACGGTGGGGTAGCCTAGTGGTTAAAGCGTTCGCTCGTTACACCGAAGACCCCGGTTCGAATCCCCACATGGGTACATTGTGTGAAGCTCATTTCTGGTGTCCCCCGCTGTGATATTGCTGGAATATTGCTAAAAGCGGCGTAAAACCAAACTCACTCACTCACTCTGAACATCTGAACATGATGAACAATACATTGTCTGCGAACTTGTGATTGTATTCCTTACCCAATATTCATATTCATTGTGATATGTATCATATCCGCCTGATAGAAGACCGACTCCAGGCGCGGATACAGTTTTTTTTAAAAAGGGGCGGTCGGCACAGTCCATTTTCACCTGGGGGGTGTGCATCCCTACATACACACACTGTGGAACACACACTCACAGAGCGAAACACACACAGACACAAACACATGCAAACTAAAGCATACAGACACACAAACACATGGACACCATTCACACACATGCAGAGCAAGACAAATGCGCACACAAATACACACACTCAGAGAGAGACAAACACAAAAATGTATTGAAGATTGCCTGGCTGCTTCATGTAGTTCTTCCATCAATGTTGCAGAAGGCCCTGATGCTGACTGCTTCATGTAGTTCTTCCATCAATGTTGCAGATGGCTCTGATGCTGGCTGCTTCATGTAGTTCTTCCATCAATGTTGCAGAAGGCTCTGATGCTGACTGCTTCATGTAGTTCTTCCATCAATGTTGCAGATGGCTCTGATGCTGACTGCTTCATGTAGTTCTTCCATCAATGTTGCAGAAGGCTCTGATGCTGACTGCTTCATGTAGTTCTTCCATCAATGTTGCAGAAGGCTCTGATGCTGACTGCTTCATGTAGTCTCTTCCATCAATGTTGCAGAAGGCTCCCTGATGCTGACTGCTTCATGTAGTTCTTCCATCAATGTTGCAGATGCCTCTGATGCTGACTGCTTCATGTAGTTCTTCCATCAATGTTGCAGAAGGCTCTGATGCTGACTGCTTCATGTAGTTCTTCCATCAATGTTGCAGATGGCTCTGATGCTGACCTTCATGTGGATTCTTCCATCAATGTTGCAGATGGCTCCTGATGCTGACTGCTTCATGTAGTTCTTCCATCAATGTTGCAGAAGGCTCTGATGCTGACTGCTTCATGTAGTTCTTCCATCAATGTTGCAGAAGGCTCTGATGCTGACTGCTTCATGTAGTTCTTCCATCAATGTTGCAGAAGGCTCTGATGCTGACTGCTTCATGTAGTTCTTCCATCAATGTTGCAGAAGGCTCTGATGCTGACTGCTTCATGTAGTTCTTCCATCAATGTTGCAGAAGGCTCTGATGCTGACTGCTTCATGTAGTTCTTCCATCAATGTTGCAGAAGGCTCTGATGCTGACTGCTTCCATGTAGTTCTTCCATCAATGTTGCAGAAGGCTCTGATGCTGACTGCTTCATGTAGTTCTTCCATCAATGTTGCAGAAGGCTCTGATGCTGACTGCTTCATGTAGTTCTTCCATCAATGTTGCAGAAGGCTCTGATGCTGACTGCTTCATGTAGTTCTTCCATCAATGTTGCAGATGGCTCTGATGCTGGCTGCTTCATGTAGTTCTTCCATCAATGTTGCAGAAGGCTCTGATGCTGACTGCTTCATGTAGTTCTTCCATCAATGTTGCAGATGGCTCTGATGCTGGCTGCTTCATGTAGTTCTTCCATCAATGTTGCAGAAGGCTCTGATGCTGACTGCTTCATGTAGTTCTTCCATCAATGTTGCAGATGGCTCTGATGCTTTGACTGCTTCATGTAGTTCTTCCATCAATGTTGCAGAAGGCTCTGATGCTGACTGCTTCATGTAGTTCTTCCATCAATGTTGCAGAAGGCTCTGATGCTGACTGCTTCATGTAGTTCTTCCATCAATGTTGCAGAAGGCTCTGATGCTGACTGCTTCATGTAGTTCTTCTTCCATCAATGTTGCAGAAGGCTCTGATGCTGACTGCTTCATGTAGTTCTTCCATCAATGTTGCAGAAGGCTCTGATGCTGACTGCTTCATGTAGTTCTTCCATCAATGTTGCAGAAGGCTCTGATGCTGACTGCTTCATGTAGTTCTTCCATCAATGTTGCAGAAGGCTCTGATGCTGACTGCTTCATGTAGTTCTTCCATCAATGTTGCAGAAGGCTCTGATGCTGACTGCTTCATGTAGTTCTTCCATCAATGTTGCAGAAGGCTCTGATGCTGACTGCTTCATGTAGTTCTTCCATCAATGTTGCAGAAGGCTCTGATGCTGACTGCTTCCATGTAGTTCTTCCATCAATGTTGCAGAAGGCTCTGATGCCGACTGCTTCATGTAGTTCTTCCATCAATTGCAGAAGGCTCTGATGCTGACTGCTTCATGTAGTTCTTCCATCAATGTTGCAGAAGGCTCTGATGCTGACTGCTTCATGTAGTTCTTCCATCAATGTTGGCTTCAGAAGGCTCTGATGCTGACTGCTTCATGTAGTTCTTCCATCAATGTTGCAGAAGGCTCTGATGCTGACTGCTTCATGTAGTTCTTCCATCAATGTTGCAGAAGGCTCTGATGCTGACTGCTTCATGTAGTTCTTCCATCAATGTTGCAGAAGGCGTTCTGATGCTGACTGCTTCATGTAGTTCTTCCATCAATGTTGCAGAAGGCTCTGATGCTGACTGCTTCATGTAGTTCTTCCATCAATGTTGCAGAAGGCTCTGATGCTGACTGCTTCATGTAGTTCTTCCATCAATGTTGCAGAAGGCTCTGATGCTGACTGCTTCATGTAGTTCTTCCATCAATGTTGCAGAAGGCTCTGATGCTGACTGCTTCATGTAGTTCTTCCATCAATGTTGCAGAAGGCTCTGATGCTGACTGCTTCATGTAGTTCTTCCATCAATGTTGCAGAAGGCTCTGATGCTGACTGCTTCATGTAGTTCTTCCATCAATGTTGCAGAAGGCTCTTGATGCTGACTGCTTCATGTAGTTCTTCCATCAATGTTGCAGAAGGCTCTGATGCTGACTGCTTCCATGTAGTTCTTCCATCAATGTTGCAGAAGGCTCTGATGCTGACTGCTTCATGTAGTTCTTCCATCAATGTTGCAGAAGGCTCTGATGCTGACTGCTTCATGTAGTTCTTCCATCAATGTTGCAGAAGGCTCTGATGCTGACTGCTTCATGTAGTTCTTCCATCAATGTTGCAGAAGGCTCTGATGCTGACTGCTTCATGTAGTTCTTCCATCAATGTTGCAGAAGGCTCTGATGCTGACTGCTTCATGTAGTTCTTCCATCAATGTTGCAGAAGGCTCTGATGCTGACTGCTTCATGTAGTTCTTCCATCAATGTTGCAGATGGCTCTGATGCTGACTGCTTCATGTAGTTCTTCCATCAATGTTGCAGAAGGCTCTGATGCTGACTGCTTCATGTAGTTCTTCCATCAATGTTGCAGAAGGCTCTGATGCTGACTGCTTCATGTAGTTCTTCCATCAATGTTGCAGATGGCTCTGATGCTGACTGCTTCATGTAGTTCTTCCATCAATGTTGCAGAAGGCTCTGATGCTGACTGCTTCATGTAGTTCTTCCATCAATGTTGCAGAAGGCTCTGATGCTGACTGCTTCATGTAGTTCTTCCATCAATGTTGCAGAAGGCTCTGATGCTGACTGCTTCATGTCGTTATTCCATCAATGTTGCAGAAGGCTCTGATGCTGACTGCTTCATGTAGTTCTTCCATCAATGTTGCAGAAGGCTCTGATGCTGACTGCTTCATGTAGTTCTTCCATCAATGTTGCAGAAGGCTCTGATGCTGACTGCTTCATGTAGTTCTTCCATCAATGTTGCAGAAGGCTCTGATGCTGACTGCTTCATGTAGTTCTTCCATCAATGTTGCAGAAGGCTCTGATGCTGACTGCTTCATGTAGTTCTTCCATCAATGTTGCAGAAGGCTCTGATGCTGACTGCTTCATGTAGTTCTTCCATCAATGTTGCAGATGGCTCTGATGCTGACTGCTTCATGTAGTTCTTCCATCAATGTTGCAGATGGCTCTGATGCTGACTGCTTCATGTAGTTCTTCCATCAATGTTGCAGATGGCTCTGATGCTGACTGCTTCATGTAGTTCTTCCATCAATGTTGCAGAAGGCTCTGATGCTGACTGCTTCATGTAGTTCTTCCATCAATGTTGCAGAAGGCTCTGATGCCGACTGCTTCATGTAGTTCTTCCATCATTGTTGCAGAAGGCTCTGATGCTGACTGCTTCATGTAGTTCTTCCATCAATGTTGCAGAAGGCTCTGATGCTGACTGCTTCATGTAGTTCTTCCATCAATGTTGCAGAAGGCTCTGATGCTGACTGCTTCATGTAGTTCTTCCATCAATGCTGCAGAAGGCTCTGATGCCGACTGCTTCATGTAGTTCTTCCATCAATGTTGCAGATGGCTCTGATGCTGACTGCTTCCATGTAGTTCTTCCATCAATGTTGCAGAAGGCTCTGATGCTGACTGCTTCATGTAGTTCTTCCATCAATGTTGCAGAAGGCTCTGATGCTGACTGCTTCATGTAGTTCTTCCATCAATGTTGCAGAAGGCTCTGATGCTGACTGCTTCATGTAGTTCTTCCATCAATGTTGCAGAAGGCTCTGATGCTGACTGCTTCATGTAGTTCTTCCATCAATGATGCTTGCAGAAGGCTCTGCTGATGCTTTGACTGCTTCATGTAGTTCTTCCATCAATGTTGCAGAAGGCTCTGATGCTGACTGCTTCATGTAGTTCTTCCATCAATGTTGCAGAAGGCTCTGATGCTGACTGCTTCATGTAGTTCTTCCATCAATGCTGCAGAAGGCTCTGATGCTGACTGCTTCATGTAGTTCTTCCATCAATGTTGCAGAAGGCTCTGATGCTGACTGCTTCATGTAGTTCTTCCATCAATGTTGCAGAAGGCTCTGATGCTGACTGCTTCATGTAGTTCTTCCATCAATGTTGCAGAAGGCTCTGATGCTGACTGCTTCATGTCGCTCTTCCATCAATGTTGCAGAAGGCTCTGATGCTGACTGCTTCATATGTAGTTCTTCCATCAATGTTGCAGAAGGCTCTGATGCTGACTGCTTCATGTAGTTCTTCCATCAATGTTGCAGAAGGCTCTGATGCTGACTGCTTCATGTAGTTCTTCCATCAATGTTGCAGAAGGCTCTGATGCTGACTGCTTCATGTAGTTCTTCCATCAATGTTGCAGAAGGCTCTGATGCTGACTGCTTCATGTAGTTCTTCCATCAATGTTGCAGAAGGCTCTGATGCTGACTGCTTCATGTAGTTCTTCCATCAATGTTGCAGAAGGCTCTGATGCTGACTGCTTCATGTAGTTCTTCCATCAATGTTGCAGAAGGCTCTGATGCTGACTGCTTCATGTAGTTCTTCCATCAATGTTGCAGAAGGCTCTGATGCTGACTGCTTCATGTAGTTCTTCCATCATTGTTGCAGAAGGCTCTGATGCTGACTGCTTCATGTAGTTCTTCCATCAATGTTGCAGATGGCTCTGATGCTGACTGCTTCATGTAGTTCTTCCATCAATGTTGCAGAAGGTTCTGATGCTGACTCGTGGGAGGAGAACATGCTGGGTCTAGAGGAATGTCTGTTCTGTTCCCACGTCAGCTCATCCCTGGAGGAAAACGTCGGTCACATGACGGAGAAACACAGTTTCTTCATCCCCGACATAGAATATGTGGTCGACATGGAGGGTCTTATAACATATCTAGGTAAGCCAGCTTCATTCTTATTGTTACTGTTATCTTTCAATTTGGATTTTCTGAAGAGTACAGTGATATCATATCGTTACCGTGTTTTGAAATGTGTAATCAGTTGGATGTTTGTAACCATATGATTGAATGGTCTTTGTTTTGATGTATGTAGGTGGGATTTGAAAGATGTAGGTCATGGATTTGACTCATGAAGGTCATGGATTTGAGACATGTAGATCATGGCTTTGAGACATGTAGATCGTGGATATGAGACATATAGATCGTGGCTTTGAGACATGTAGATCGTGGATATGAGACATGTAGATCATGGCTTCGAGACATGTGGATATGAGACATGTAGGTCATGGATTTGAGACATGTAGGTCATGGCTTTGAGACATGTAGATCGTGGATATGAGACATGTAGATCGTGGCTTTGAGACATGTAGATCGTGGATATGAGACATGTAGATCATGGCTTTGAGACATGTGGATATGAGACATGTAGGTCATGGATTTGAGACATGTAGGTCATGGCTTTGAGACATGTAGATCGTGGATATGAGACATGTAGATCGTGGCTTTGAGACATGTAGATCGTGGATATGAGACATGTAGATCATGGCTTTGAGACATGTGGATATGAGACATGTAGGTCATGGATTTGAGACATGTAGGTCATGGCTTTGAGACATGTAGATCGTGGATATGAGACATGTAAGTCATGGATTTGAGACATGTAGATCGTGGATATGAGACATGTAGATCGTGGATATGAGACATGTAGATCATGGCTTTGAGACATGTAGATCGTGGATATGAGACATGTAGGTCATGGCTTTGAGACATGTAGATCGTGGATATGAGACATGTAGGTCATCGATTTGACATATAAAGGTCATGGATTTTACACATGAAGGTCATGGGTTTGAGTAATGTAGGTCTTAAGTGAAACAGGGATATGACCCATGTTTTGTTCTTGTTCGTGTGTCTCTTTATAGTACAAGGTGTGTAAGGCTGTTGTATATTTGAGTTATTACCTCCTGTGTTCAGGTGAGAAGATCGGCGTGGGGCATGTGTGTCTGTGGTGTAACGAGAAAGGCAAGACGTTCCACACAACCCAGGCCGTCCAGCGTCACATGGTGGACAAGGGTCACTGCAAGATGCTGCACGAGGGAGACGTCGTGTTTGAATATACAGACTTCTATGACTACAGGTCTGTATTGGCAGGTTACCCAGTGTCGTGCAGCAGTGTCAAGTGACAGTTATGTGGCAGTGTCATGTGAGTGTCATGAGAATGTGACATGTGGCAGTGTCATGCAGCAGTGTCAAGTGGCAGTGTCAAGTGACAGTGTCATGTGACAGTTGTGTGGCAGTGTCATGAGGCAGTGACATGGGGCAGTGTCATGCAGCAGTGACATGTGACAGTGTCATCTTGATTTTCAAGCTGAAACAATTAAAGCTTCTTTAATACTTTGGAGGATTGGGTGGCCAAATTGCCTGAGGTTCTGGAATTGCATTTTCTGTGCAGTATTGCGTTCCTTAGTACACTGGAAACTTATGATTGGGGAACAAATTCATCCTGATCATGTCCCCACATAACCATATCCATGCCTGTTGGTTCCACCAAATAAATAAAAACCATCTGAGACCTGCTTCACTTGCAGTTTCTTCCCTCTATGATATAACTGGAATACAGTTAAACCTGACTCACTCACTCACTCACTCACTCACTCACTCACTCACTCACTCACTCACCCACCAACCACTCTCTCACTCACTCACCCAGCCTCTCTCTCACTCACTCACTCACTCACCCACCCACCCACCCTCACTTACTAACTCTCTCACTCACTCACTCACTGAAAAAGCCTGAAATTCGGACATTTTCACCCTAAAAAGGCCCTAAATACTTTTTAACCCCCAAAAGGCCCTAATTGCCTGTGATTTGCCCTAAAATGGCCCTATATGGAGCAAAACGTTTGGTTTTATAGAAAACCTTATACATAAAAATATCCATGACAATGGGTGTTAATTAATCTCCATCGCGAAGTGACCTTTCCCAGTGCAGCAATATAGCTAAGAGTTATTTCAGCCTGATGGTCGGGCCGACATTTGACCAATCTATAGTTCCTTGACATTGTTGATTGGCCCATGGAAAGCCCCTAAACAGGCTATAACTTTGATGGCTGATGATCTGTACGGACATTGGTTACCATGGTTACTTTTGAATTGGGTTTTGACTGTACTACGTCTGACAACAGGAGCAGCTACCCAGACGCAGAGGCCTCAGGAACATCGGCAGGGTCAGCCGAGGGAGGCAGCGAGGACGTTGACATGGAGAATACCGCAGAGCCTGAGAGTCTGATCAGTGACGGCTATGAGCTTGTCCTGCCTTCAGGTAAGTGTTGCCATGGTTACTCTCCATCTAACAACCTTTTGTCACGATGCAGCATTGATTGATTGGCTGGTTGGTTGGTTGGTTGACAAGAATTGGTTACTGAAGATCAAGTTCTAACCCAGATCTTCCCAGGCCTTTCCTGGAATGAATAAATGGGGTATATTCTCTATTTTCTATTCTCTCGTGGATTAGTACAGTAAGTGCTCTCAACATAGGTTTGGAATATACCCCATTTATTCATTCAGGAAATATAGTCTGTATTAGTCCTCACAGCTCTTTGGTTATGTTCATGGTTCCTTGTTAAGTCAGAATACCCAACCAGCATTAACCATGCCCATGGAATCAACAAGAGTCTGCTAACCAAGGTTGAGTATCTAAAGGCTGGCTTACCACATACTTTGTTTGTCTTCAGGAGCCACAGTTGGTCATCGGTCACTTGCCAAATACTACCGCCAGAATGTGCCACCAACTCGCAAGGAAACACGGTCGATAGTCCCTCGAATGTTGGCTCAATACAAGGCTCTTGGCTGGACAGGTGCAACAGGTGAGATGACAGTTGTCGTTCAGGGTCTTGTTTCTCCCTCCTTGTGTATATTAAGTTAATGTATGCGAGTTAAATCATTTTGGCATAACGACTGTCACAGGTGTCTTGCAGATTGCTAGGGCTGAGTATTGACAAACAATATTGAGATATAGTTTGGGAGCTGAAGTGTGTGACAGTAGTGGCTGGGGCTGAAACGGTATACCGCAGTATTAGTGGAACCGTGGTATTTTGGCTTCGGTTCGGTATACCGTAATGCAATCCAAAAATTCAGTATTTTTGGTTTTCATATTGTTCTTCTAACTAGTCATGAAATGACAGATTTTAAACTTATCCTATCTCAAGGTATGCACCTCTCGTCTTCTTCTACGACCATGTGTGGAAACGTGCTGTAGGCTAAGTTGAATCAAATCTTACTGGCCTCTGACCCCCTGACCTCTGCCCCCACTCCGATATCAGCACCTGTCAATCATCTCCATAAGCGTGCAGCTCGCCCAGATGATCACTTGACTACCTGTGCCTGTCATTCTCTTTCTTGTCGCTACGTCATGTGGACGTGTGCTTGTCTCTAAGAAAGTTTGATTGTTGTTTCAACATTGGTAAATCGAATCGCAATGGTTCTAATAAGCGCAAACATTGTGACAAGTGTAACAGTAATTTCTCGGCGGCAGATCCACATGCTGTATGTGTAGATTGTTTAGGTCGTTGTGATTGGTCTCAACGCTGCACTTTTGTGCTGGTCTTCAATGACGATGCTTTCTCTGAATATCGCCGGTAGCTTGTAGACGATGTCAGATAGGGATCGCCGCAAAACATATGAGGGTCCGTCATGCGTCTAAACGCCCTAAGGCAGAACGCCATAAGAAAACTGCAGTTCGACGCTCAAGTCCCCGCCTCCTAGATTTCCTAGGGAGAGGCGCCTGATTCTTACCTCAGTGAAAAATTCAGATTCTTTTCCGTCTGCATGCATCCAGCCCTATCACTTTAGAAGACTCCACACCACCTAGGGTTGTCGCTTTATCTACATCTGCTGTTCAGTCCCGGCCCCGCCTTTGGTGGTAACTGTTCCTCAGCTCTATGTTCCTTCGGTGGGAGTTTCTCATGCAGCACTTGGTGTGATTCCTAACATTACCTCCTCTCAAGCTACGCTTTGCTTGTAGTTCGGCTTTCCTTTTCGGGTGGTTGGTTCTACATTTACTTCCCATTCGGGTGCTTGTGTCTCATGTGACACTTGGTTCTGGTACAGTGGATAGTTTCGGGTTCGGCGCTGTCTCATCCTCCGGTGGGGTCGACAAGTTTGCCGATGATTCCCAGTGCTTAACTTTTCCACATATATCCCCTTTATCCTGTACCATTTGGTTACGGACCATTACTTTATTCTAGTGAGTCGCTTACCTCCCAAGCACCGCTTTTACATCGACAGGTACCTGGTTGCAGAGCCCGCTGGTCCTGATTCCATCGCCATTTAGAGCGCCACTTGTTTCCAGTTTGGCGCTCTTGTTTGCCCCTGGTTCGGCGCTTACTCACAGTGCTCCCGTTTCGGCTCTTAGTGTATCCAGTTCGGCGCTTCCTCATAGAGCACTGGCTTCAGTGCTTCCTCACAGTGCATTCGGTTCGGGCGCTGCTCAGAGTTCAGCGCTTACTTCCAATGTGTCTGGTTCGGCGCTTGGTACACTCAGCTCAGCTCTTGCTTTCAATGCGTCGCTTGCTACCTGTTTGGTGCATGTTTCTTCTGCTACATTGATTCCCGGTGCTCTGCTTATTCCCAGTGCGACGGTTAGTACACCTTGTGTTTCCTATGCATCTTCAGTGGTGGGAGCGCCACATTCCATGAGTATTACTGTTTCTTCCTGTGAAACTGTCACAGCGGGGTTTGGTTTACCACCTAGAGCGGCGAGTGTGAGGGACCCTACGCTTCATCGTTTCATCACGGGAACTTGTATCAGTCAGCTGGTTGCCCGTCTTCTCTTAGTGGGGCACCTCGTCATCCCTCGTTATCTGCTCCTGTTTCGTCTTTGCCTCCTCCAGGTGGCGAGACCTATCTGTGGGTTCGACTTCACAACCTGTTGATTTTGACGCTATTGTGCAAGCGGTAGCCTCGGCTTTACGGCATCAGACTCAGATGTTAGCGTTGATGCTGTTGACACACCTCAATTGTTAGTTTGGATTGCTGATAGCCTTCGACAACAGCGTAGTAGTTCGCCTTCGGATTTGTTATCCAGTTTATTTATGAAGACAGGTGATTTGGGTTCTATCACCTTTCCGCCTCGCCCTTGCATCACTCAATTGGCAGCGTCTCTGGATGAGGCGTTTGGTAACCTGAGGAAGGTTAAGGATGGGTTCGCGGCTCCCCGCTTCAATTTAGCATCTGCTCATGTTCATGGTTTCTCTACGCTGATCGTCTCCCCTCCGGTGGATGATGATATTACGTAGTTCGGAACCAAACAGAAAGCCTACTTGCCGTTCCTGGTCGAGTATCATGAGCCCTTGCATTTGGATAGTGTCATAAGGAAGATTATGGCGCCACTCAACTTGGTGTTGACGACTACCGAAGCGGTGGCTGTGTCGGTTGCACATGCTACGTCCCATCAATAGGCGTATATTCGGACGGCGATAGTGCTATAACAAGAACAATTTCAGACCATTTTGGATCAGTTGGCTCACTTCTTTTCTTACGTCACAGCTATGCGTCGCAGGGGGCTTCTGCACTTATTCTCATGGGAGGATAGGTTCCAAACTGATCTTTTTCATCAGCCGTGGTCTGGCAGGTCACTTTTCAACGGGGCGATTAGAGATGTCGCCACCAGAGTTGGTCAAGATGTTCATTTACAAGTGTCAGTGGAATTGTTGAAATTCCAACGTTTGCAGGTGGAGGACTCGTTGCGCCAGCGACTGCCAGCCCGTTATGTTCCTTCCAATCCAGACCTTCATTCGGGTTCTGCTGCTTCCTTTCGTGGAAAGGGTTCCGGCAGAGGACGTTCCACTCATCAGCGACATTAGAGCGTGACTGGGTTCTTCCTCTTCCAGTCGTGCCCATCCAGACCTCCCCAGTAGGCGGAAGACTTGGGACTTATGCTCCCAACTGGACCATCTTGGGCGACCCTTACATCCTCTCCACGTTGTCCAAGGGGTTTCAGCTGCTGATCATTGGGGATCCTCCTCTGACTTTGCTTCCAGATCACAGAACGTATCCCTCTCAGCAAACGGCTGTTCTTCGATCCACAATAGACGCCTTACTCCAGAAACTTGTGATCGAATCCCTGGGTCCGGCCCCGATCAACCCGGGGTTCTATACTCCAATCTTTCTGGTTCCCAAGAAGGATTCGGACAAGTTGAGACGTGAAGGTCTTCAACGAGATGTTTCTGCAGCCTCTGCCCCATTTTCGGTGGCCCTACTCAAGACCATTATCAAACCAGGAGACTACATGTCAGTCTCGATCTTCACATCCCCAGCTCCTGTGGTGGATGGAAGAGTTTGCGACGGAGTTTGATTTGGGCCGTTTGTTCCGTCTCACCACATGTATGTGGACGTGTCTCAACGCGGGTGGGGAGCTCATCTTCTCAATCAGCAAGTGGCAGGGCAGTGGTCTCTTGCAGATCGCGCCTGTCACATCAACGTTCTGGAGTTCAGGGCAGTGATTCTTTCAATCATTAACTGGCAAGGTGTCCTACGAGCAACTTCCCTCATGGTCCAATCGGACAACGCAGCATATCAACAGGATGGGGTCAACAGGGTTTACTCAGCTCCTGCAGTGGACTCAGCAGTTCTTCGACCTAGTGGACTCTCTCAACATCTCTGTGCGAGCCAACCACATTCCGCGGGTGAAGAATGTCATCGCGGATTCCCTGTCCCATCCGAGTTGTCCCTCTCCAACGGAATGGAAATTACATCCTCAGGTGTTTCAGAACTTCTGCCTTCCATGGACGCCGACAGTGGATCTATTCGCCACTCGGTTCAACCATCAGCTGCCTCTGTTTGTGTCACCGATTCTGGACCCTCTGGCTTGGGATCACGATGCTCTAGCCATTCCGTGGGACGACCTGAACGCTTACGCGTTTCTGCCAGTGGCTCTTCTTCCTCGCATACTAGTGAAACTGCGCGCAACTCATCGGATGACACTACTTTTAGTCGCGCTCACTGGCCGGCCAGAAGTTGGTTAGTAAATCTTCAAGAACTAGCCGAACCAAATCCCGTACCACTTCCCAATCGGCTCGATCTACTGGTTCATCCGCACTCCGACCAGCTACATTGGTCCCCGCTCACGCTCCATTTTCACGCTTGTCGCATTTACATCTGTCGCTAATGGCCAAGGGCTTTTCGAAGCGTGTTGCTACTGCCATCACTACAGCCCATCGCACCTCCACTAGGTCACTCTATGATGACAAGTGGAAGAATTTTGAAGCGTATTGCAGGAAGAAGGGCATAACATCTCCCACTACGGCATCCCTGCAGATGGTAGCAGAGTACCTTCAGCATCTTTGAACCTCCAGAAAACTCAAAGGTTCTACGCTATCTACTTACCAGGCTGCCCTTTACATGGTTATTGCATCGGCCTCGGGTATGAAGGTGTCCACTGTCCCTGAGCTCCAGTCTTTCCTCAGGTCTTCTAAACTTGCTGACCAATCCCGGAAGTTCCGAACCTCCAGCTTGGGATCTTTTCGTTGTGCTTGCTCATCTCAAGTCAGCTGATTATGAACCTCTGGAGAGAAAGATTTCGAACATGTCTCCTTTAATACCTTCTTTCTCCTGGCCTTGGCCACTGCTACCCGTATTTCCGAGTTGCACGCTTTCGATGTCCCTCGTGTACGATTTGAGAGGTCTAGACATGAGGGAGTTTTCCTTGGTTTGCGGTGGGATTTTCTTGCTAAGAATCAGTTACCAGGACAGCCGGATCGCACGTTCACGATTCCGCCATTGTCCACTATCTTGGGCCCAGATGGCATAGAAGATCTTTCCTTATGCCCGGTTCGAGCATTACGGATTTATCTAGCTGCCTCGCAGGATCGCCGCAGACTGCGTAAGAGATTGTTCATTCCATTATCTACTGCCTCTGCCTCGGAAGTCTCATGCACTACCTTGGCGTTTTGGATGAGAACTACAATCCTGCATGCTTATGCCTTTGCTGACCTGCCTCCACCGTCGACGGCGAAGCCTCATGAGACTCGGGCGCTTCACAGGAATTGTTCCCTCCAGTCCATCATGGAGGGATGTTTTTGGCGATCCGATACGGTGTTTGCTTCACACTACCTGAGGGACCTATCGGTTACAGTCGTGGAAGGTCTACATCAATTCGGCCCCCTGGCCCTGGCGCAGCAGTTGTCATCGGCCCGTGTTCGCAGATAAAGCAGTCCTTCCTTGGTCGGTTTTGCTCTGTACCTAATATAAGATATCGATGTAATCCATATCTTGGTACTTTTTTCTTTTGGGCTTAGATCATTCTCACCTAGGGGACTATGGCGTGTTTGCACTGTCATAAATATCACTGGATAGACTGTGAGGCAAGTCTTGTGCTACATGCAGAGATGGTCGACATTCCGCTTACTGACCTCTACTCGTTGAGCAATTACGTCAGTGAAGTGTTGATTTCCGATTACCTACATGGTTTTTGAAGCGTTCCACTCCTAAGTCCATTCTCACCTTTGGTAAGTTAGGGGGATTGGTACTGAACGTTAAACTAGTTGAGCAACCGGACTATTCACTCTTTCACCGCCTTCCAGCGTGTGTCTGTGGGGTTAGTTTCGAAGCAGGGACTGCCACATTAGGTCTTCGACTTTAATTCACTGGGGTCACCTGACAAATCGCGGGGCGGTGGGGCCAAACTGCGTCCTATTGCTTGTCAAAAGTTGCGGCTGAAAACCACATTAATTCGGGAGCACCCTAGAGTTTTTGTGCTGTGTAAGCTAAGGGGTTACCTGAAGAAACCCATCGCAAGTTTGGAGTTTGCATATCGGGAGTTGGTGCTTTCTCCTGGCCTCCTTGGGTTATGCGTCTTCACGGTTGTAAGTATTGACAGGGTAATCTGCGGCCCTCCTACCAACCGTGGGATTATGCATACAATGAGATAGGATAAGTTTAAAAATGTGAAAATTTTACTATTAATTGTATATTTTTAAACTTATCCTATCTCACGTGATGGATACCCACCCGACCTGCCCCACATCACAGATTACTGGAAGTTCCAAGACGAGAAAGACAGGCACAGGTAGTCACGTGATCATCTGAGCGAGCTGCACGCTTATGGAGATGATTGACAGGTGCTGATATCGGAGTGGGGGCAGAGGTCAGGGGGGTCAGAGGCCAGTAAGATTTGATTAAACTTAGCCTACAGCACGTTTCCACACATGGTCGTAGAAGAAGACGAGAGGTGCATACCGTGAGATAGGATAAGTATATAAACATACAATTTATAGTAAAATTTTCAAATTTGTTCATTCAAATCTAAAAGATTATGATTATTTTTTTCCCATGCTATTAAACAATGAAGGATTGGCTCTTGTCAATTTTCTGCATTATAATCATATCTCTAAACCGAATCGAAGAGGAACAAACCGAAGGCCTTGTACCGCAATACGTACCGTACCGTGGTAAGAGCGTACCATTTCACCCCTAGTAGTGGCATTGATTGTACATGCAGATCCTATATTCTACACACTAAGACCTGTAAAACAATGATATGGCTCTATCAATTTCAAAAAAAGCATGTGTAAGTATTAGTTTTCAATCAGAACTCCTTTGAAGTGCAGTGTTAACACTAGTTCTCCTGCAGAAAGTCCTCTTACAGTAAATACTTTGGTTATGAAGAACTCCTAGTGACCACTAATAATTTTAGTTTGTTATAGCCATTTTTTGTTCGCACTTCCACTAAAATATACATCAAGTAGCAAGAACCTCAAACATTCTTCAGTTTGTTATAAACATGTTCGTTATAACGTAATTTACTTTATCATACAATGGATAGTGTTCTCAGCAGGATAAAGCCAACAGATATTTTCGGTATCCGTTGGGGTCATACACGGATATTAATGCAAATTAGTGAGGTCATATGCAAAGTTTAGGGACTACTTTCATAGTGTAAACAAACATGGCGTCACATGTCGGCGATCGTGTCCGGATTGACGGCCGTGGTTACGGTACTGTCCGTGTTTTGATCCAAGACAATTCATGTCTGGTTATGATAGATGGGGTGGATTACGAAGCAAAGACAGAAATTCATAGGCTTACAAAGATACCAACACCAGTTCCCTGACCGACTGTCAGTGTTAGCGAGCAGACGGCACAGGAGTCCAGGTTAACTGAAGGTTTCTGAAGTTTCGAAATGTTAGTTGTTATTTTTCAAACTTGAGCTAAGATTTGTTGACAACAATGCATGCTTTAACATAAAAACTTACTGGGAACTAGAAGACCTAACGCTGTCAATTGAGTGATCAGTAGAAAATTGTGTCACCGAAGCTTGTGACGCAACGTATTACATGCTCATATTTGTGATGTCATAGATATCTGTGCACATTCCACGAAGTTGAGGTTCATGATTTGTGGTAATTGAAATCACATTTTTTTAAATTATAAAGTAAAATTGACATTGTATGATAAATAGGTTATCACGCAAGTGTGTTTTGGGATGGTTAATATCCTTTATGAGGAACAAACATTTGCCAAGGCTCACTAAATACAGTGTTTATTCCTAATGCAGGATATTAACCATCCCAAAACACACTTGCGTGATAACCTATATATATTATATTTATGTGTAACAGGGGTGGTGGGGGTAGCCTAGTGGTTAAAGCACGCGCTCGTTACTTTAAAGGCATAGGTTTGATTCCCCACATGGGTACAATGTGTGAAGCCCATTTCTGGTGTCCCCTGCCATGATATTGCTGGAATATTGCTAAAAGCTGTGTAAAACAATGTTCACTAAGTCTTTATGTGTACCAGACACGGTGTGGATAAGGTCTGTTGTGATGGTTTCAGGCACAGTGATTCAGCAGCGAGTGAAGGACCTGGGCTACATGCAGAGGTTGAAGCATCGCCACTTCATGAAACTGGGCTGCAAGGCCAACAACCTTCAGACACACTTCCGCTCTCAGAACCCCATATAAAGCATGACTGCAGATTGGCCAACCTTTACAACTGGGGTAGAACCATTGCAAATCCTGCACCAGATTCTAACATTATGATAAAGTGAAATATACCACTCAAAAAAAGTTAAAACCCAAATTTTTCACATTGTTTAAGAATTACAGTTCGCTCTACTTCCATGTATAGTGTAATACTGCACACTTTCGCCCTGAACTATAAAAGTTAAAGCACGAGGACGCTTGTGTCCGAGTGCTTTAACGTTATAATATTTTGGCATCTACAGTTTTCTGAATAATAAACCAATGATAAATCTAAGGCAGAAAACAATTAGAAAAGAGACTGTCGGTGACCTAAATTAACAATCTTTGTTCAGGGCTAACTGACAGGTCTGCCTTCCTACGTTAAGGCGCACGTGACCAGAAAGACAAATGACAAACAGTTTGATGACGGTTTACGTTTGGGTTAAATATCTTCTCTAAATTATTTTAATAATATCTGTCATTAACGTAAACCATATGGGGCAATATGAACGTCGCATTTCTACTACCAAGCTGAGGAGTCACATGACATTCCACGGATGCATTGTGGGAACGTAAACATTGCGTGAGTTGAACTTAGGTATTATATCCATCGAAAAATATAAACGTAATGTTTCCACCAATGATGTTAGCCGAGTGATGCAACTGCAGACCAAGAAACGGGATGCTACGGGGTAGTTTACTGTAGGAGACTATACGAGGCGATGACAACTGACATGCATCGTGACGTTGGTTACCAAGGGTACGTTCGATTACAAGGGGGCAGACTAGAAGGACGCATTGACACCAATACAGTGTGACGTCATGCAATAAGTGTACATTATCGTCTGATAAAGTACTGTCTGCGCCTTTGATCTTTCACCGAGCATCTTAGAATACAGTCTAATGTGAAGGCAAAGTACAACTTAAGTAATATGAAAGAATGAGGGGTCTTTCACTTCTTGTGAGTGGTATATGTTACGGGTACAAATCTTGTCCAAAACATTGGCTAGTGATTTTGGTTTTTCTATTGCACTGGTAAATCACTTGGTGTCAATGAACAGATGTCTAGTTATTTCCTCTATGGAATCTAGTATGTGGACAGGTTGAAAAATACAGCTGGCACAAATCAGTTTCAGTTCACAATAACGTATATGTGTGATGAGCAGAAGTAGTATACAGAGTTATGTCAATTACAGTCAGTCATACTGATGGTGACGCGTACAGTCAGTCATATGATGGTGATGGTGAGTCATACAGTCGGTCATACTGATGGTGACATACAGTCAGTCATACTGATGGTGATGTACAGTCAGTCATACTGATGGTGACATACAGTCAGTCATACTGATGGTGACGTACAGTCATACTGATGGTGATGTACAGTCAGTCATACTGATGGTGACGTACAGTCATACTGATGGTGACGGTCAGTCATAGTCGGTCATACTGATGGTGATGTACAGTCAGTCATACTGATGGTGATGTACAGTCAGTCATACTGATGGTGATGTACAGTCAGTCATACTGATGGTGATGTACAGTCAGTCATACTGATGGTGACATACAGTCAGTCATACTGATGGTGTCATACAGTCAGTCATACTGATGGTGACATACAGTCAGTCATACTGATGGTGATGTACAGTCAGTCATACTGATGGTGACATACAGGCAGTCATACTGATGGTGACATACAGTCAGTCATACTGATGGTGATGTACAGTCGGTCATACTGATGGTGACGTACAGTCAGTCATACTGATGGTGATGTACAGTCAGTCATACTGATGGTGATGTACAGTCAGTCATACTGATGGTGACGTCATACTGATGGTGAGTCATACTGATGGTGACATACAGTCAGTCATACTGATGGTGACGTACAGTCAGTCATACTGATGGTGATGTACAGTACAGTCATATACTGATGGTGATGTACAGTCAGTCATACTGATGGTGACATACAGTCAGTCATACTGATGGTGACATACAGTCAGTCATACTGATGGTGATGTACAGTCAGTCATACTGATGGTGACATACAGTCAGTCATACTGATGGTGATGTACAGTCAGTCATACTCATGGTGACGTACAGTCAGTCATACTGATGGTGACATACAGTCAGTCATACTGATGGTGATGTACAGTCAGTCATACTGATGGTGATGTACAGTCAGTCATACTGATGGTGATGTACAGTCAGTCATACTGATTGACGTACAGTGTCATACAGTCAGTCATACTGATGGTGACGTACAGTCAGTCATACTGATGGTGACGTACAGTCAGTCATATTGATGGTGACATACAGTCAGTCATACTGATGGTGATGCGGTCGGTCATGCTGATGGTCAGTCATACTGATGGTGATGTACAGTACAGTCATACTGATGGTGATGTACAGTCAGTCATACTGATGGTGACATACAGTCAGTCATACTGATGGTGATGTACAGTCAGTCATACTGATGGTGATGTACAGTCAGTCATACTGATGGTGATGTACAGTCAGTCATACTGATGGTGATGTACAGTCAGTCATACTGATGGTGATGTACAGTCAGTCATACTGATGGTGACATACAGTCAGTCATACTGATGGTGACGTACAGTCAGTCATACTGATGGTGACGTACAGTCATACTGATGGTGATGTACAGTCAGTCATACTGATGGTGATGTACAGTCATACTGATGGTGATGTACAGTCAGTCATACTGATGGTGACGTACAGTCATACTGATGGTGATGTACAGTCAGTCATACTGATGATGTAAAGTCAGTCATACTGATTGTGATGTACAGTCATACTGATGGTGACGTACAGTCAGTCATACTGATGGTGACGTACAGTCAGTCATACTGATGGTGATGTACAGTCAGTCATACTGATGGTGATGTACAGTCAGTCATACTGATGGTGATGTACAGTCAGTCATACTGATGGTGATGTACAGTCATACTGATGGCGATGTACAGTCAGTCATACTGATGGTGTACAGTCAGTCAGTACTGATGGTGACGTACAGTCAGTCATACTGATGATGAGTCAGTCATACTGATGATGTAAAGTCAGTCATACTGATGATGTAAAGTCAGTCATACTGATTGTGATGTACAGTCATACTGATGGTGATGTACAGTCAGTCATACTGATGGTGATGTACAGTCAGTCATACTGATGTTGATGTAAGGTGAGTCATACTGATGGTGCCATACAGTCTGTCACACTGATGGTGACATACGGTCAGTCATACTTATTGTCATGTGTTTCTCTAAAGTCATTATCAGCATGACGGACACTAGGTGTTGAATCCATCTTATCATTTCATACTAGTTCTTTGGATAACAATGCTAACTACATTTTTGGGACAACTCACCGGAATATCAGACAAGCAGATTTATCTTAGACATATAAGTACCGGGTCATTATTCAATTTAAATAATTATCTCAAGGTAGCCAAAACAGTTTAATTTCTTTAATGCTTAATTGTCCATAAGCAGGATGTGATTTATTATAGATTGATCATTATGTGAATATTTGTGTGATAGTTTGAAGAAGATTCTCTCAGAGTATAATAGATGAGCAGGGAGATAGGTATTTAAACAAAATATATGCTGAAAATAATGCCTGCGACAAAATGATGTTCCCATTCATCTGAGAAATGTAAAAATATCTTCCCTTGTTCTGTGAACTAATGCTACAGTTTCACAAAAAATGTTCACATTATGGATACAAAACATATTTATTTAAGCTTTCAACATCCTAATATCTTTGTTAAAAAAATCTGTTTTGTTAAAGCATACAAATTATATGTATATAATTAAAACAAAAGAAATGAACTTGTTTATTGTTTTATTTTTTGGGGGGGATTTTTTTTTTGTCTTCGTTTATTTTTTTTGCAGTAGTTGAGCAACAACCTTTTCAAAAAGGGTATTGTGTGATTGGTTTGGGGAAAACTGAATAAACATTGGTTGAAAGAAAGCACACACTGTATGAATGTTTAGTATCAATCTGAATGTTTAATATCAAACCAGAATCTGTTCCGATAATCAAGACCGATTACTCTCTGACATCAGCTTATATTTGAGATGGAAACAAAATGAAGACACTTTATTTGGTAACGGGAGTCAAAAGACACTCTTAAACAAAGAATGTTGAGTTCGAAAATGGAGGAAACTCTCCAGCCCAGGGAAAACATGGCTGGAGACATGAGGAAACTGATACATGATTAGAAAACGTGGAAAATAGACACATGGTAAGAAAACGTGAAAAGTAGATACATGGTTAGAAAACGTGAAAAATAGACACACATGGGTAGAAACCCGAGAGAACAGATACATGGTTAAAAACCAACACATGATTTGAAAACTTGAGAAAACGGGCATATGTTGAGAAAACGGATACTCGGTGAGAAAACAGATACTTGGTGACAAAACGGGAGAAAAAGGTACATGATTAGAAAACGTGTTCATAGTGAGAAAACATGCACATGGTTAGAAAACCGATGCATGGGGAGAAAAAGGGAGAAAACGGATGTATGGGTAGAAAACTTGAGAAAACAGATACATGGGGAGAAAAAGTGAGAAAACTGACACATGGTTAGAAAACGTGAAAATAGCCATTCGGTCAGAAGACGTGAGAAAACAGATACATGGGGAGAAAAAGTGAGAAAACATACATGGTTAGAAAACCTGAGAAAACAAGTACATGATTAGAAAACAGATACATAGTGAGAAAACAGGCACATGGTTAGAATACGTGAAAAACACAGACGCATGGTTAGAAAACAGACGCATGGTTAGAAACGTGAAAATAGCCATTCGGTCAGAAGACGTGAGAAAACAGATACATGGGGAGAAAAAGTGAGAAGACATACATGGTTAGAAAACCTGAGAAAACAAGTACATGATTAGAAAACAGATACATAGTGAGAAAACAGGCACATGGTTAGAATACGTGAAAAACACAGACCCATGGTTAGAAAACAGACGCATGGTTAGAAACGTGAAAATAGCCATTCGGTCAGAAAACGTGAGAAAACAGATACATGGTGAGAAAACAGATGCATGGTTAGAAAAAGTGAGAAAACAGATGCATGGTTAGAAAAAGTGAGAAAACAGATGCATGGTTAGAAAGCATGAAAAATAGACACGGTTAGAAAACATGACTAAAAAGACACCGTGCGAAACCATGAAAAGAAAAATAGACTCATGGTTTGAAAACGTGAAAAATAGGCACAGGGTTTGAAAACTTGAGAAAACAGATGCATGATATGAAAACGCAATAAGTAGACACATGGTTAGAAAACTTGAGAAAACAGACGCATGGTGAGAAGACTTGAGAACAGACAAACTTTATGAAAACGTGAGAAAAAAGGCACATGCTTAGAAAACGTGAGAAAACAGACGAATGATTAGAAAGCATGAAAAATAAACACCCTGTTAGAAAAAGTGAGAAAACAGATACACCGTGAAAATACAGACACATGATATTAAAACGTGACATAACAGATACATGGTTAGAAAACCTGAGAAAACAAATACATGGCTAAAAATCGTGAAAAGTAGACACATGGTAACAAACCTTCAGAAAACAGACACATGGTGAGAAAACGTGAAAAAAAACAGTCAAACTTTATGAAAACGTGAGAAAACAGATACATAATTTGAAAACGTGAGAAAACAGACACATGATGAGAAAACGTGAAAAAACAGATGCATCGTAAGAAAACGTTAGAAAACTGAGACATTATTAGAAAACGCAGTCTAAACCAGATAATACAGTGATTGATATTTTGAGGAACGATCCACGGGGTACCATGACATGCAATCAGTTTGGGCACCTCACCTTGGTGAACATAGTTCCATGGATACCTCCCTTAGACACGCCAGAAACTTACGATCGTGAGTTCGAATCCCGATTCTGTTTCCGGGTTTGCCATCACCATACCAAAGTTGGTAACTTCAAATAATAACTTCTAGTAATATTGATTAAAAAATCAAAACATCAATATATTTTTTCAAGTGTATAATCTGCTGTTGGCATCATACATCGACGCCCCTGCTCTCCCAATAGTAATTGGGAGGCGTGATCAGCATCGACAATAAATACAGCGTCCTGACCTTTCCGTTGATTGGCCATACAACTGTTCCGTTCCTCGCGGTCAGGGGAAAGTTAGTACAGTTAGGCGTGTACCACCACCCGACTCCTCTGTCCTGAGCACAAGTTCCACAATCCCGGTCACGAGTGCAGAACTTGGTGGGAGTGTCGACCCCCAACATGAGACCGTCCTCTGCATTATTGTAAGTCTTGTAGGAGCTGTACTGGATGGGGTAGCCCTCTAAGTCAGAGCCTATCCGGAAGTGCAAATAATAAACATTAGCTATTATGGGCTCCAGGTCTGTTGGGTGTTCATAGTATTCGAGATAGACGTGCAGGTTGTAAACGCCTTGACGTAAGATGTACCACAGCTGTTGAAGACCAAGGAGAAAGTCGCAACGGGGGTCCCCGAACTTCGAGTTGAAACCGTCCCAGTCCATGTTTGGCTCAAGGATGTTTCCTTCACAGACGCTGACGTCACTTAAGGGATGGTTCCTCCTCAAGAAGTACGTGCCCCCATATTCGAAGCTGCAGAAAGCTTCAAAGGCGTGCGGACATTTGATTGGTTGGATTTGGGACATCCTGTATCCAGTTTGACCAGAGTTCTTCCCCTCACTGCAATCTGGAAATTATAGGAAAGCAGTCACGTGGTCGTAGTGAACGTCATTGAACAAGGGCCCTGTATACAGGCCCTCATTCCAAAGAGAAAAGTTGTTGTTGAAAACTATCGTTAGATGTTGTAAGTGAGAGTATTGGAATTTCGGAAACCGTTACGCTAAAATCAATTTGGTAAACTGGGGCCTGGATGTACATAAGTTAGGTTAAGTCCATACACTGCTTTGTGTGTTTGTTTGTTGTTTACCAAAACAACTGTCTGCAACAGCCAATCCAGCAAGACATACCGTATAGAAAATGAAGAAAGACGGTATATACCCAGAGGTGAGAGCAAGACGGACAATATAGAAATGGAAGAAAGACAGGATATACCCAGAGATGAGAGCAAGACGGACAATATAGAAATGGAAGAAAGACAGGATATTCCCAGAGATGAGAGCAAGACGGACAATATAGAAATGGAAGAAAGACAGGATATTCCCAGAGATGAGAGCAAGACGGACAATATAGAAATGGAAGAAAGACGGATATATCCCAGAGATGAGAGCAAGACGGACAATATAGAAATGGAAGAAAGACAGGATATTCCCAGAGATGAGAGCAAGACGGACAATATAGAAATGGAAGAAAGGGAGGATATTCCCAGAGATGAGAGCAAGACGGACAATATAGAAATGGAAGAAAGACAGGATATTCCCAGAGATGAGAGCAAGACGGACAATATAGAAATGGAAGAAAGACGGATATTCCCAGAGATGAGAGCAAGACGGACAATATAGAAATGGAAGAAAGACAGGATATTCCCAGAGATGAGAGCAAGACGGACAATATAGAAATGGAAGAAAGACAGGATATTCCCAGAGATGAGAGCAAGACGGACAATATAGAAATGGAAGAAAGACGGATATACCCAGAGATGAGAGCAAGACGGACAATATAGAAAATGGAAGAAAGACGGATATTCCCAGAGATGAGAGCAAGACGGACAATATAGAAATATAGAAGAAAGACAGGATATTCCCAGAGATGAGAGCAAGACGGACAATATAGAAATGGAAGAAAGACAGGATATTCCCAGAGACGGACAACATAGAAATGGAAGAAAGATATTCCCAAGATGGACAAGACGGACAATATAGAAATGGAAGAAAGACAGGATATTCCCAGAGATGAGAGCAAGACGGACAATATAGATTGATGGAAGAAAGAGCAGGATATTCCCAGAGATGATGAGCAAGACGGACAATATAGAAATGAAGAAAGACAGGATAAGACAGGATATCAATATAGAAATTGAGGAAAGACCCAGAGATGAGAGCAAGACGGACAATATAGAAATGGAAGAAAGACAGGATATTCCCAGAGAGAGATGAGACAATAAGACGGACAATATAGAAATGGAAGAAAGACAGGATATTCCCAGAGATGAGAGCAAGACGGACAATATAGAAATGGAAGAAAGACAGGATATTCCCAGAGATGAGAGCAAGACGGACAATATAGAAATGGAAGAAAGACAGGATATTCCCAGAGATGAGAGCAAGACGGACAATATAGAAATGGAAGAAAGACGGATATTCCCAGAGATGAGAGCAAGACGGTCAATATAGAAATTGAGGAAAGACGGGATATACCCAGAGATGAGAGCAAGACGGACAATATAGAAATGGAAGAAAGACGGATATTCCCAGAGATGAGAGCAAGACGGACAATATAGAAATTGAAGAAAGACGGATATACCCAGAGATGAGAGCAAGACGGACAATATAGAAATGGAAGAAAGACAGGATATTCCCAGAGATGAGAGAAGACGGACAATATAGAAATGGAAGAAGAAAGACAGGATATTCCCAGAGATGAGAGAGCAAGACGGACAATATAGAAATTGAAGAAAGACGGATATTCCCAGAGATGAGAGCAAGACGGACAATATAGAATTGGAAGAAAGACGGATATTCCCAGAGATGAGAGCAAGAGACAAGACGGACAATATAGAAATTGAAGAAAGACGGGATATACCCAGAGATGAGAGCAAGACGGACAATATAGAAATTGAGGAAAGACGGGATATTCCCAGAGATGAGAGTAAGACGGACAATATAGAAATTGAAGAAAGACAGGATATTCCCAGAGATGAGAGTAAGACGGACAATATAGAAATTGAAGAAAGACAGGATATTCCCAGAGATGAGAGTAAGACGGACAATATAGAAATTGAAGAAAGACAGGATATTCCCAGAGATGAGAGTAAGACGGACAATATAGAAATTGAAGAAAGACGGATATACCCAGAGATGAGAGCAAGACAGACAATATAGAAATTGAAGAAAGACGGGATATTCCCAGAGATGAGAGTAAGACGGACAATATAGAAATTGAAGAAAGACAGGATATTCCCAGAGATGAGAGCAAGACGGACAATATAGAAATGGAAGAAAGACAGGATATTCCCAGAGATGAGAGCAAGACGGACAATATAGAAATTGAAGAAAGACAGGATATTCCCAGAGATGAGAGTAAGACGGACAATATAGAAATGGAAGAAAGACGGGATATTCCCAGAGATGAGAGTAAGACGGACAATATAGAAATTGAAGAAAGACGGGATATTCCCAGAGATGAGAGCAAGACGGACAATATATAGAAGTGAAGAAAGACGGATATTCCCAGAGATACCCAGAGATGAGAGCAAGACGGACAATATAGAAATGGAAGAAAGACAGGATATTCCCAGAGATGAGAGTAAGACGGACAATATAGAAATGGAAGAAAGACGGGATATTCCCAGAGATGAGAGTAAGACGGACAATATAGAAATTGAAGAAAGACGGGATATTCCCAGAGATGAGAGTAAGACGGACAATATAGAAATTGAAGAAAGACAGGATATACCCAGAGATGAGAGCAAGACGGACAATATAGAAATGGAAGAAAGACAGGATATTCCCAGAGATGAGAGTAAGACGGACAATATAGAAATGGAAGAAAGACAGAGATGATATTAGACGGACAAAGAGATGAAGAAAGACGGATATTCCCAGAGATGAGAGTAAGACGGACAATATAGAAATTGAAGAAAGACGGATATTCCCAGAGATGAGAGCAAGACGGACAATATAGAAAGTGAGAAGAAAGACGGATATACCCAGAGATGAGAGCAAGACGGACAATATAGAAATTGAAGAAAGACAGGATATTCCCAGAGATGAGAGTAAGACGGACAATATAGAAATTGAAGAAAGACAGGATATTCCCAGAGATGGACAATATAGAAAGAAAGACGGGATATTCCCAGAGATGAGAGTAAGACGGACAATATAGAAATTGAAGAAAGACGGGATATTCCCAGAGATGAGAGTAAGACGGACAATATAGAAATTGAAGAAAGACAGGATATACCCAGAGATGAGAGCAAGACGGACAATATAGAAATTGAAGAAAGACGGGATATACCCAGAGATGAGAATAAGACGGACTATATAGATATTGAAGAAAGGTCGGGATATACCCAGAGATGAGAGTAAGACAGACTGTATAGAAATGTAGAAAGGTAGGGATATACCCAGAGGTGAGAGCAAGACAGACTGTATAGAAATGTAGAAAGGTAGGGATATACCCAGAGGTGAGAGCAAGACAGACTGTATAGAAATGTAGAAAGGTAGGGATATACCCAGAGGTGAGAGCAAGACAGACTGTATAGAAATGTAGAAAGGTAGGGATATACCCAGAGGTGAGAGCAAGACGGACAATATAGAAATGTAGAAAGGTAGGGATATACCGAGAGATCGGAGTAGGAATGATGGTATAGAAGTAAGAGGAGAAGGTATTTACAAATCCAGATTGGTTGAAGTTATCTCTAACTCAGTTCAGGCATTTCATTTCAATATTCATTTCAACAAAGTGAGTCCTAGTCGCGTGTTGCTACCACCGACGTTATAATTATATAAGCCGTTAATGCTATATAACCCCATTTGCATATCATACAAGGAGTATCGGATTTGGGTATTTTTTCATCGACCACACCATCTATTATACAAGTTGAGTTGAGTTTTACGTCACATCGGCATTATTCCAGCCTTATAGCGACGAGACCAAGTCTGCATTCATACACATTTTAAGCACAAAGTCCAAAAGAGTTTCTTGAAAACATATAGCACCAAATTCAAAAATAAGCAATCCGTCATTCACATTATATAGTAGGGCTGTGCAATATAACCGATTTACCATTTCAGACATGAAAACGGTACGTATTGCGATAGGCTGATCGAAAACCGGTATTTTGACATGCATTCGGAAAACTTCGTAACACTCGGAAATCTTCGGATATTTCCGGCTTTTTAAATTGTTCCTTTCCTTGTTTCATTTGTGCCAAACATTATTTACATTTTTATTTTGTCATGATTAAAAGTTTTTATTAACGCCTAATAAAGCATTGTGATTTTGTTGTGTATTTACTTTATAAATCAAGCATTAACCCGATTATACGTATGTTTTGTTAAAGAAAACTTCTTGCAATATATTGCAATACAAACTCGCAATACATGCTTTCGCATCGCAATTTATCGCAATATGAAAATTCCTTGCAATACCCACCCCTATTATATAGTTACAATTTACGATACAGATCAATTTCCCTTCAGTAGTTCAAAATGAGATGCCCGTTGACTAGTGAAAATAGATCTTTGAGATTCCTTGCTTCATAATGTCCCACGCAGTTGAGAAGTCCACACAATCAAGCAGAATATGCTTGATTTCTAAACACTTCATCGCAAGAGACACACATAGGAGGTCCATCTCCATCCGTTTTCAGCAGATAGTCATGAGTAAACCGACTGTGGTCAATACAACATCGTCGTAAAATTACGTCATGACGACTTGTCTGACAACACAAGAAGGTATAACCGATTGTTGGTTTCAGTTCGTGAAGTTTACTTCTTCCTACCTGGGTGTCCCACCTGTTTTCCTGAGTATAACTTTTGATAGTGGTTTTGAAATCACTGTTCGAGATCAGAAGTGAGGATAACGGTTTGTCAAGAGCTGCTTTAGCTGCAGCATCGGCTTTTGTGGTACCTGCCATGCCTACGTGACCCGGTAACCAGCAGATGGCGATGTCACTTTGGCCAGTAGAAACTTCGTTGTAAAGTTCTAAAATGTGTTGGATGATAGGATGACTTGAAGTAACATTTTGAAGTGTTTGAAGGCAAGACAAAGAGTCCGTAAGAATGATGAAGTTTTTGGAATGGTTCTGCTGTTTAATATAGGTCACTATCGTGAAGATAGCTTTGGTTTCAGCAGTGAAAGTGGAACCATTGTCGGGAATTCTGGAGGAGATAGTCTTGGATCCTATGACAGTGGCACTGGCAACTTGGCCATCATCCTTGGATCCGTAGAAATGGATCTATGGGTGTTATACTTGGACTGACTGAGTTTAGTTTTACGCCGCTTTTAGCAATATTCCAGCAATATCACGGCAGGGGACACCAGAAATAGGCTTCACACATTGTGCCCATGTGGGGATTCGAACCCGGGTGTTCGGCGTGACGAGCCAACGCTTTAACCACTACGCTACCCCACCGACCCTGTTATACTTGGAACGTAACTGCTTGTATTCCTGTTGGAATACCAAAGGATTTGTTTCGGACTTTTTAGTTTGGTGAGGGAAAGATCCACCTGTGGCTTCACCATCCGCCAGGGTGGGGAAGGCAGAAGCTGGTAAGGTGTTCTGATATTGAGATAAATATTAGCTGCAGATATGTGTGGTTGAATTCTGATTCCAAGTGGTGGAACCAGGCTTGGAAGGTAAAGAAACAGATTTTCATGGTGAGGGTTGAAAACACAATTGTGTGTTGGATTGGACTGATTTAAACGTATATAATTTCGTGATATACTGCAGTGAAAGTTTAAAGCGACGTTCTTCAAGAGGAGGTTTGTTAGCCTCCGCGTATAGACTGTCTACCGGAGATGTCCTAAAACCTCCGAGACTGAGCCTGAGGCCTTGGTGGTGGATGGAATCTAATTTTATTAAATCAAGCCGAATTAGAGCGAATTAATGATCTGTACAAGTGAATGAGGATAGTCTGATTCCCTCCCCACTCAGTATTTGAAACGACTTTCATCAAGTCAAGAGCCTTCAAGGACTTTGTTTTCAAATATTTTATGTGTGGTAAGAATGTCAACTGACGATCGAATATGAGTCCCAAGAATTTGGCCTCTTTTACTTCTTTGATGGGAGTATCATCTAAAGATAGGTTTGGATCTTTGTGTGTTTTGTGTGGTTTGAGTTGTAACTGCGTTTCTATTGCGTTTCTATTCTTACCATGAAATATTGAAACCATCCACGAAAAGAGACCCATCAACACAACTGTTCAAAACGTTAGTTAGGCTGTTACTTTTTATGCTACAACGTGTGACAGACAGGATGCCGCCTTGAGGGGCGCCCTGATCTTGGTGGAAATAATCAGACAGTGTTTAACCCACTTTTACATGAAAAGTCGAAAAAGATAGATACAGTATGTTGTTTGTTGATAATAGAATATTTTATAAATGATTCCAGAGGCACCAGATGGTCAATTATACAAAACATTATACTATCGTACAAATAAACAACGGATCTACCGAACTGACACTAATTGTAGTTCGCTATAACCGTTGTTCGTTATACGCATCTCGACTAAAATATACAGAAAGTGGCTGGAACAAATCAGATCGTTACATCCGATTGTTCGTTTTAAAGGGCACATGCAACGTAAAACACAACTTTGCAGATTCTGATACCTTTCGGTATGGACTTACCGAAACAAATCCTCAAAAATGCAAATTCAACTTATAAAGTTGAAAAATAACGCGATGAAAAAACCCGCGCGAAATCGGAGTTCAAACGTTTCACTAATTTTCCCCAGACTTTTCGGTGGAAAACTGGTTTCAACAGCTGGGCTGCGCTCATAGCACGTGCGCAGTGAAATAGGTTTGCGCAGCTTGGGAGCGGGTTGTCCGGTGAATACTCGGTGAAGGCTTTGGTGTGAGCTATTTTTCTAATGTTTTGTTGATATCTCACAGGCGCGAGCTTTTTTTATGTTATGACAGTAAATTAACTGATTATATAATTTCATTTGTCTATTTCACCACAAGTTCTTCTTACCGAGCCACTTTCTCAGTTCGATACTTAAAAGCAATGTCATTATTTAGCGTTGACAGAATTTCCAACTGTGATATAGATATGTCGTTGTCACAGACAAAACTCAATGTCTTGTTTTATTGACACTTGTGTGTCTGCCTGCCCGGCTGCTAATGACAATATTCAATACACAGCTGCTATCACTGACCACATGCAATTTGAACTTAACACCAATCAGGCTATACACCATAAACAAAATGCATTGATTTACGGCCCGAGTTCGGTCTCTGTCACATTATGTATTTACACAGACAGGTAGGTGTGATACTTGAACACATGACATGTTATGATGTCTGTTGATTGTAAAATGTTATACACAAAAAATGAGCATGTATTTACAAAACCCAACATCTCTATATATACACACACAATGAGCCGTGAGGGCATCTGCAAATGAACCAGCCGTTACACTTGAGTGCACACCCACCCGCTCTGACTGGGTTCGGTATCCCGGCTGCTTCGTTTCTTGGGAAGTAAACCCAAGTACAACAATATTGCACTTTTGATTTGCGATTGTACACTTATAATTTTGTTTATATGTTTTTTCATAACCAGCAATGTATATTATATGTCATGAATAAGTGATAATTGCGTTTTAATTATGTTTGATTTTTTGGTTGCATGTGACCTTTAAGCGTGTCAGCTATAAACGTAATCTACTGTATACACGTTACCTCGGACTATTCTCTGGCAATAGTAGCCTGCCCAACCAGGCAGACACACACAGGGTTGGGCGTAGATCCAGGTACCCCCGTTATAACATGGGTTGTGGTCCTGTAAAATAAATAAAGGTTAGTTTTAATTCCTTTGGATTTTTGTCCAGACTCGATTTTTCACAGACCGCCGCCATGTAGCTGGAATATTGCTGAGTGCAGCGTTAAACAACACCCCAGCCCAACAAACTGACAACCTTTCTTGTCCGTGTGTGGTTTGATTTTTTGTCTTTTAGGACGACAATGCCGGTGGTCACCTCAAACAGCTGAACATCCACAGAATGCCATGGACAGCAATGAATCTAGACCTTTCCACCGTTGAAAACGGAGATAATCCGCCGACCACTTTGGACAAACCACGCGATGCAAAAGAGGGACCGAGACTCATACACAGAATGCCTCGTCGGGAGAATGAATGCTTTACATATCGTAGTATTACACACTACTGATCCCAAAACGTCAACGTCTTACAGCAGCGTCGTCCTTCAGAATCGTTTGCGGTCACAACGTCTGCAGTCATACTTCACAAGGGGTGGATGGGTAGCCTAGTGGTCAATGCGTTCGCCCGTCACGCCGAAGGTCCTGGTTCGATGCACAAGATGGGTACAATGTGTGAAGCCCTTTGCTTGTTACCCCCACCGTGACATTCCTGGAGTATTGCTAAAATCGGCACATACTCAATCATTCATATAATCACGAATGGTGTTGAAAATACTAAACGACACACGTGCACAAAATACCCGTTTAAATGAAATAGTTTGTGTGTAAACAATGAAGTGTGATATACGGAAGCGCTGAAGGGACTTGAATAGGAAAACAAAAATAATTGTACATCGTGCACACAAAATACCAAAGTTCGCGCACGATATAGTATAGCACGATATAGTATAGCATGCACACGCAGTACTATGTCGAGCGCACGTCGTAAAACCATACTCACTCGCTCACTCAAATTATCCGCTCTTTGTCATGGGGACGTTGTTTCTTGTTCTTCCGGCTATTCTACGTGACTGGCTACTGCAGGATTCTATACCTGATCGGAGGAGGTGAGGTAGCCTAGTGGTTGATGTGTGCGCTTGTCACGCCAAAGGCCTGGGATCGAATCCCCACATGGGTACAATGTGTGAAGCTCATTTCTGATTCTAGAAGCGGCGTGAAACCTCACTCACTCACTCACTCACTCACTCACCCAAACCAACCACCCACTCACTCACTCACCCAAACCCACTCACTCACCCCACCACTCACTCACTCACCCATCACCCACTCACTCACCCACCCACTCACCCGCTCACCCACCACTCACTCACTCTCACTCACTCACCCCACCCACTCACTCACCCACTCACTCACCCACCCACTCACTCACTCACTTTACCTGAACATGTTTCTCCATATATATGCAGCCTGATCTCTTCACCAGCCCGACACATCCGCCGTTCCTGGTGTCCAAGAGCTCACATGTATTGTATCCTGGCCCTTCACAGATGTTCACAGATTGACAGTCATCTCTGTGCGCACACAAGGCTGAGCATTCTAAACCGGAACTGGTCGATATAGTAGCTATGGAGACACTTTCTGTGACCATGCCACTGGTGCATCCTGGGTATGTGATGAAATCCTTCATGGAGACGTCTGCAGCCTTTGCAACGTGGACGGTGACGAGGAGAAGAATCCTAATCTTCAGTACACACGCCATTCTGGAATGAACATTTAAACAATTTGAAGTGAAACTATCCAATGAGTCGTTTGAAAAGGGTTTCAACAATTACTCGTTATCTAAGTGTCCTACTTTTTTGTCGGTTTATTTTAGATATTATCAGGACATTTTTAATTCTTCCGCATTGGTGACAAAAAAATACATGTGGGGCAAATCCTGTGGATTTTGATACAGGTGAACACATGACTTGCCTTTGCGTGTGTTTGTGACTAGTGCTGCAGGTGGGGCAGGATACACACACATTTTCACACACACTTGGTATCATCACTATTTGATAGCGATTCATAGACATATGTTTATGATACAACCGTAATCGTACAATGTACTCGTCTTTTAGCAAGGGATTGTTATGTTTATCAGTTGAAGAAATAAACTGGATGGATACATCCCACCATACATTCACAGTATAAGGGCATTCACAATGTAAATGTATAATTGTTTCAGGAGTAGATTCGCAGAAGGAGCACAACGGAGAGTAGTTGTATTGCATCAACTATAGCTCATGGTTGGGCATTAGAATATTGTGAGTGATGTTGAAGTGAATCCATCAAACTGTAAACTTACTGTGCATCTATTTGCCATTGAATAGATATTTGACCAATCCTCCTTGTAATATTGTTTATTAAGGATATCACCCCCACCCCAGTCGGTCTGGTTTGACATTTTGATGAAAGTAGTATATAATGATTTACTCTTTTGATTTTGTCCATAAATACAAAATATGTTGAATGGTATTGTTGGATATTGAATCTGATAGCAAGTCTTACCCATATCAAGTACATCTTTAGATCTACAACATGCTAGAACAGAACTTTTATGCCTTCAAGGTGGAGGTAGTTTATTTTGACAATTCCATATACCACGTCGAATTACCAAGAGCACCAACTGTCCCCTGATTCCAGAATACTCTTTTGACACTCTAAATCTTATTACCCAGTCCTAAATGCCGAATACCGTCTTACCTTTCACACTGGATTCAGAATGCCACCTTACTTTTCACTCTGAATTGAAATTAAAATCTTTCTTTTCATTCTGAATCTAGAATAACATCTCAATGTATACTCTGAATCCACAGTTTATTTTGACAATTCCATATTTTTTTCAGTGTCAACGTTTTGTAAGAATTTTCCATTCCGATCTACAATATCACAAACAAAAATATTCCCTTTTTTTGCCATATTTTCGTTATAAATGAACTCTCCCGCTGTCCTGATATTATAATTAAACCATAAAGATTGGCAGAAAAAAATCTGAAATTTCTTTCACATTTCCATAACACCTCTTTAGGTAGTGATGTCATGCCACTAATACATCTCACCAGAATTTATTTGAAACATAAGGAATGATATTATTGCATACTCATTCTGCATCTGCATAGTATAATTTATTTGAATCAACTAAGCTTTCATTTGCGATAGAGATACATTTTGAATGTTCGAATGTAAGCTGCTTCATCAACAACACATTTGGGGCATTTATAGTATTGTTTATAATAGGTACACTGATAACCCCATCTTTACCCCAGCATGATTTTTCGCTTTACCTGATCTTTATTTTCCTTGCAACACAAAATTAAAACACGTTTTTTTAGACTTTTGTATCATATCAGCCGGTGGGCTATGAGAATTGATGAGAATAAGTGATTTAACTTTGGCAGTAGCAAGGATTTTAAGACAACATTTCTACCCATTGGTGTCAAATATCTCAAAGAACATTTGATTCAGATCCGTCTAGGGTCACTGCAGTATCATCTGCAAATTGGGCTAAAAGGCTTTGAATATTACCTACGTGTATTCCCTTGATCTTTATACTTTTTCTGAGTAATAGCGCTAACACCTCAGCACATAAAATACAATTATAAGGTGATATTTGGTCTCCCTGACGAGAGCCCATGGCTATATTAAAGAAGTCACTCGCGATCCATTTGCTAGGACGCTAGGTTCAGTATCTTTCAACAGAACGTGTATCCAATTTTGCACATTTGGTCCACAATTAAAACGTTTTACAACATTTTGCATAAATGTTCTGTCAACTGAATCGAAAGCTTTTTCGAAGTCAACGAGTAGAAACAAACCTGGAATTATATATGTTACTGTATAGTCCATTATGTAAAAGATTTGCCTTGTAACATCCTCTATATATCTTCCTGGAACAAAACCTTTTTGATCCTCATAAACGATAACAGGTAATATTGTCTTTATTCTGTTTCCTATAACTGCTGAGGCTAGATTATATGTAGTATTGTCTCCAGTTTTTCAGAATTTCTTTACTTCTATTACCCTTAGGGGGACATGCAATGAGACCCTGTTTTTGTGATACAGACAACGCACAGGTTGTGTATGCATATTTCAAGGCGTTTATAAGAATTTGTTCAAATCATTCCACAAAGAATTGACAAATTCACTCGAAAAGCCATCTGGGCCCTTGACTTTTATCATTTATCATTTTTCATTTTTTTAGAGCCGAAAGTGTTTCATCATAAGTTAATTTTCCTTTTAAGGTTGAAGCTGCATCATCTGAAAATTCAGATATTTGACCTTCGTTGAATAATTCTTCTAATCTTATTTGTCAACAATCTTTACTTGAAAAACGTTTTTTATAAAATGTTCTAGTCTCCGCTTGTATTTCAATTTGATCTTTTGTCACTGAGCGACCATTCTTTTCCATTTCCATTATTCATATATTAAAAACACTCTGGGTTACTCATAAGATAAAATCGTCTACGACATGCATTAGTTGACAGAAATGAAATACCGTTCAAGGCGTTTAACGCACTCGTGAAACACGCACATCTGTTATGACGAACTTCGAGTTTGAGGTCCACCTTACATATCGTGCATGGACAGTTAACTCGAACTGGGATATTTATAGAACGAAGAGTGCATGAAGTATGAGGCCGATAGAGTATGCATCAAATACACATGACAGACCGTTGTGGTCCACGTCGAATTACGAAGGACACCAACCGTCCCAAGATTCCAGAATACTCTTTTGACAGTTTGAATCTTATTACCCAGTCCTAAATGCCGAATACCGTCTTACCTTTCACACTGGATTCAGAATGCCACCTTACTTTTCACTCTGAATTCAGAATACAATCTATCTTTTCAATCTGAATCTAGAATAACATCTCAATGTATACTCTGAATCCACATTACCATCTTACGTTTCCGGCTAAACACAGCGTCCCATCACGTATTTCAATCTGAATACCGAATACCATCTTACTTTTCACACTCAACCCACAATACCATGTTACTTTTCATTCTCAACCGACAATATCATCTTACTTTTCATTCTCAACCCACAATACCATCTTACTTCTCACTCTCAACCCAGAAGACCATCTTTCTTTTCACTCTGAATCAATAATACAATCTCACTTTTTACTCTGAATCAATAATACCATCTTACTTTTCACTCTCAACAAAAAATACTATCTTACCTTTCACTCTCAACCCACCATACAATCCTACTTTTCACTCTCAAACCACAATAATACCTTACTTTTCACTCTCAACCCATAATGCCATCTTACTTTTAACTCTCAACCCACAATACTATTATACTTTTCACTGTCAACCCAGAAAACCATCTTTCTATTCACTCTGAATCAATAATACCATCTTACTTTTCACTCTCAACCCACATTACCAGCTTACTTTTCATTTTCAACCACAATACTATCTTACTTTTCACTCTCAACCACAATACTATCTTACTTTTCAATGTCAACAAACAATACTATCTTACTTTTCACTCTCAACCACAATACTATCTTACTTTTCACTCTCAACCCACAATATCATCTTACTTTTCACTCTCAACCCACAATACCATCTCATTTTTCACTCTCAACCCACAATACCATCTTACTTTTCACTCTCAACACACAATACCATCTTACTTTTCACTCTCAACACACAATAATGTCTTACTTTTCACTCTCAACCCACAATATCATCTTACTTTTCACTCTCAACCCACAATACCATCTCATTTTTCACTCTCAACCCACAATACCATCTTACTTTTCACTCTCAACACACAATAATATCTTACTTTTCATTTTCAACCACAATATCATCTTACCTTTCACTCTTAACCCACAATACTATCTTACTTTTCACTCTCAACAAACAATACTATCTTACTTTTCACTCTCAACCCACAATAATATCTTACTTTTCACTCTCAACCCACAATATCATCTTACTTTTCACTCTCAACCCACAATACCATCTCATTTTTCACTCTCAACCCACAATACCATCTTACTTTTCACTCTCAACCCACAATACCATCTTACTTTTCACTCTCAACCCACAATACCATATCTTACTTTTCACTCTGAATCAATAATACCATCTTACTTTTTACTCTGAATAAACAATACTATCAAATTTTTCACTTTCAACCCACAATACCATCTCACTTTTCACTCTCAACCCACAGGACCATCTTACATTTTACTCTCAACCCACAATACCATCTTACTTTTCACTCTCAACCAACAATACCATTTCACTTTTCACTGTCAACACACAATACCATCTTACTTTTTCACTCTCAACCCACAATACCATCTTACTTTTCACTCTCAACCCACACAATACCATCTTACTTTTTCACTCTCAACCCACAATACCATCTTACTTTTCACTCTCAACCCACAATACCATCTTACTTTTCACTCAACAATAAACACTTTTCACCTCTCCATCTTACATTTTACTCTGAATCAACAATACCATCTTACTTTTTCACTCTCAACCCACAATACCATCTTACTTTTCTCACTCTCAACCACACACATTACCATCTTACTTTTCACTTCTCAACCAACACTATCATCTTACTTTTCACTCTCAACCCACAATATCATCTTACTTTTCACTCTCAACCACACAATACATCTCTTACTTTTTCACTCTCAACCCACAATACCATCTTACTTTTCACTCTCAACCCACAATACC